ATGTTAAAGAGGTTGATGTACAAAATGTAATAGTATGTAATAAAGTGATAAATCAATAAAAATTTAAAAAAACAAAAAAAAAAACAAACTCTAAATAATAATTAACTGGAGAAAACAACATCCAACTGTAATCAATGGGGTCCAAGGGAATTCAAAATATGTAAACAATGATCAGTATCTCAACAGTGGCTATTAACATGAGTCCTAAAATTGCATTAAAGATATCATTGTGCTGATGAGCTTATTAAAACTTTTACTCCATACCTATTCCAAAGCAATAAACTATTTTTTTTTCAGAAAAAAAAAAAATAACTATATAGAGAGCAACCTTTGAGATCCCAGTGCACCTTTGCAAGAACTTAGAAACAGATACACATTTCCAAATCATTTTCAATTGAAATATATGAATAATTCAACTTAGGTTCACCATAACTTGAAAACAACTTCAAGGCACACAACAACAATAAAATAACTGCTAATGCAGTGTAAACAAGTCTCAAGTTCAAGTGAAATCAAACTAGTTAGTTGTGACGATGATGTGTTTGCAAAGACCAAATTTGAACAAAACATGTAGTTTTCGTACACATTGTAGTTAAAATTATCCATACTTTCTAGTTTGAGTCTCTTATAGCTGTGCTGACAGAAAGGAAAGGAAAGCGTTTGTTTGTGTCAAATTAGCATCATAGCCAAATGAAGACTAGCAGAAGCTCCAACTTTATCAATTCTCCAACTCTCCAAAAATCCCCTACCCCCAACAGAGGGTAGATTTTCAAATCATCTGTAAAGTCACTGAATAAATTATATTCTTGGTATTAATATCATTTTCTAGTAAACATTTAAATCACTTAGCATTTCTATTCCCAGAAATGTAGGGGCCTTTCCCCACCAACATATAGCCCAGAATATCAGGGCAGAAAATCCCGCAATATCTGCTTTGAACTGGATTATCTGAGTTGACACTGCCATATCTTTCAGTTCAAAGCAGATAATGTAATTTTATTCAGGTGTGTGGAAGGGACCTAAGAACAAAACGATGTTATTCAGAGAACTGAGCAATGCATTCTTTCTTGACTTGAGAAAGCTATTCAGAAAAAGGAAACATACAACAGTGTTTTGACATGCAATATTAACAGCTTTTTCCATTCTCTCTGCTTTCACACCTGGACATGATCATATTTACGAATGCATCACCAAAAATAGTACAGTAGAGCCCTAGATACATCTATTTTCTCATATTAAATCCATCTTTGGATAACACAAAAATATATAAACGATTACCTTCCACAAAAATATGGAAGGTAACCAGCCTTCAATATTTTCTGTGGTAGGAAAAAAGGACCCCTGAAAATGTTAAAAACTGCAAATAATAAAACTGCACTTTGAATTGTGTCCTGAAATGGGTTGGCAGTCAGTGGATCTGCAATTGGGGAAGGGGGGGGCATACACTCACTGTGATCAGCCCCAGTTAATAGCCTGGCTGCTGCTTTTTGGATCAACTGGAGTTTCTGAGACATTTTAGACGTCAAGTTTGTAACCAGCAGCCTGTTTCCTTTTCTTTCCTCCAGCAACTGGATCAGACTTATCATAATGGAGCAGTGGAAGTTTACAAGTATAATTTTCAGTAATCTTATCAAAATACTTCTTAAAATTAAAAAGAGGACAATTATTGGAAATCAGAAGCAATAGTATTGGAGAAACACAGAAAATTTTCTCAGGACAGAGACAAAAGTGATACATTCTAGGGAAATAATAAATCACACTGTGCAGGTAAATAATTTGCAAAATCTTGAGGGACTGTTCCACTGGAACCGTTCCACATAAAGTTCATCCCAGGCACTGAATTAAATACCCTCCCCCATTCATTTAACAAATAAAAATATTTCTCTTTTTCAAGGTAATTAAATCATGCCCATGAATAAAAAGTGCTCACACTTTCTGAGAAAGCTACCTTTCATAATTGTCGAAATAAAAGCAACTCCTATAGCTTTCACAAAGGGATTGACACCATCACGGGTACATGCAAGGAAGAAATGTCACTTCACTAATATGCAACACACAAGAACCACACACACAAAACATAACTCACAGGTCAGGAACAGCAATAATATTTTTGAATAAACAGATTTAAATTGAAAAAATAACTCGTAAAGATCTAAAATGGAAAAGGTTGATTTGTAAAGAAATATTTGCCAGGTATATTTGCTCCAGCAGTGCAGCAGAAGAAGTGCAAGCTAATACTGTGCAAAAAGGATGCTATCAAACAGATTGGCCATACTCTATATAGGGTTGCCGGTTCCGCAAATGTATTTCTTAGGTTATTGATTGATTTATTTACCTCATTTATATCCTGCCTTTCTGACCCCGAAGGGGACTCAGGGCGGTTTACAACAAAGGCACAATTCGATGCCTTAAATATATATAAAAATAAAACAACATATACTTTAAAATCACATAATTAAAACTATTTTAATTTAAATTGTTTTAATTAATGATACAATTTTACTTCGTGGTGGAGGCAGATACCGGCGGTTCACAAATAGCTGAAGAGTTTGATTTATCCTTGCAAAGGATGGCCGGGAAGGGGGGGGGGGGCAGGCTAGTGGCATACTTGTCATATGATAGTGTCAGAAAGAAGTTTATTTATTTACTTCATTTAAATCCTATCCTTCTCAACCCCACAGGGGACTCAGGGCGGCTTCCAAAAAAGGCATAATTTGATGCCAAGTTCCTTGCTTTATTTTGTTCTCCTAGCGATGTCTACTCTGTGCTGTTTAACTTATCTAGCTGATATGATTTTAAAACATGCCACATCATAGGGACTGAAGCATATAAGGGTTGTCCATGGAACTTCGATCATATTGAACATAGAGAAACAAGAGGGATCCAGTCAAAAAGAGGTAGAAGGAAATGTGGTATCTCAATACACAGCTGCTGATGTTATTGAAAACATCTAGTTACTTATCAGGGAATTAGATCAGTCCATAGAGTTGAACATAGAGTTGAACTCTTCATATGACTATATTACTGAACACTTCTGCTCTTCAAAATAGGGTAAAGGCATAACCTTCCCCTCCCTCCTGAGTCAAAAACACTGGGAAATTCCAACAAAGCAGTGACTTCCTTCCTTCTGTCCTTCCTCTATTCTCAACTTTCTTCCACCATGCCTAGATTGGGAGGTGATCAGCAGCTTTCATTTATGCCAACACAAATTACATCATATTATTTATATAATATGTTTTCATATTCTTAAAGTAACAACGAGGCTAATATAACAATACCATTTTTTTCTGACAATATTCTTTTTTTCTGAAAAATCCTGAAAAAAGAAGCTTCTTTCCCCAAGATTTCAAAATTCCTAGACATTTTGCATCTCTAAAAAAGAGCACTGAAAAACTGAATGTGTACCTGATTATTTTTAAAGTTGGCATATCATGCTCACTGGAATTAAATAGCTTTGAATATTTGAACGCCTTATAAAAATCACTGTTTGTCTATGTACCATAATGTATGTATATTTTGCCTAACCTTCAATGGATTCTTAAACTGCAAGAGCATTAATTGCTATGTTCTTTTCATGTACACAGTCCTTCCTAAGAGACATCCAAGAATCCCTTGGTGATTGCCTAATCATCATCAGAAACACCACAACACATGCAAGCTGTTTTCAGTGATACTCACAGAGGCAAGCACTTCCCGCTTGAAGCTGCAAAGGAAGAAATAGCACAGGAAAGCTCAAGCTACAGTTCAATGAAGATGCACAATGCAAAAAGCAGAAGAGCATGTAGAAAAAGAATGAAAGCAATCTTCACAAACAAGGAGATTTAATTGACTTGGATCTACAAAGATGCAAGCCAGCAAATGTTAAATGCTAAACAGCACCTGGCCTAGCATATTTACATACACAATACTTTTTAAAGTCAATTCAAAATGAGCTCTCATCTGAATTCCTGCATTAATGCATGTGGCTTTAGAATGAACTATTTGATGGAGCCTCTGCTTACAAGCCCATCTTTTTAAAAAAACACTTATTCTGCTTGCAAAGTAAAGCAAGATTTCAGCACTATCTTTACTTTGCAAAGCCTCTCCCACTGTTTTATGTATTGGCTTCTGTCAGAAATGTGTCTGATATATTACAATGGAAAACTGGGTCATAGGAAGATTGAAATTTTGATCTATCATAACATGTCAGGATTCTACTTTTTTGCATCTTCAGAAATTCAGCTGATAAGTATGCTTTAGAAAGTATATCCTGAAGTGAATGTAATGGGGTGGGGGGAAGCAGGAAAAGCAGCAGCAATGTTAGCAAAAAGAGGTTTTTCTTTCCAATAAACTCAAAATTATATTGGAAATCTTGGTGAGAGTTCCCAGTTTAAGGGTTAAATGTAGCAAACTGACAACTTCATCACACGTGCAAAATTGCCCATCCTAAGACAGTTTGACCTCACTTCAGGCACAAAGCCAGCCAGATCCCATCACATTACCTCAATCTACTTCCAGCGGGGCTCTATATCTGAAGTGTGGTAGTACTGTCACAACACAGGAGTCTTCCCATGCTGCATAAAGAAGAACGGGGGGAGCCGGGAGGTGATTCTTCCCCCCGTGGGATGAGGTGACGGGCAATACGAGCGATGCAGGGCGTTGGATGCCCCCACCAGATTTGTCATGATCCATGGCGAATCCCCCCACTATCTCCCACAATTGTGACCTCAATGCGATGAGGTCCTGAGTGACTGTAAACTACAACAAATTGCTGCCATTTTTGTGTAATAAGTATGAACATAAAAGCTGCAGCAGATCAGATTAAAGCTTATATAGTCAAGCATTGATTTCACAGTAGACAAGAAGTTTACTACTACATGCCCACAAGAGGACATTAATACAAAAACACTCAGGTTTATTCCCCCAGCCACTGGTTTAGGGAATCATAATGATATATGTCTACTTGCTACTGATGTAAGCATATCATTGATAGCTATCATTGACTAAATGCTATTAATATTAAAGTATGCTGTGTGTGTGTGTGTGTGTGTATATACATATACATATACATACATACATACATACATACATATATATATATATATATGTGTGTGTGTGTGTGTGTGTGTGTGTGTGTGTGTGTGTGTGTGTGTATTGACCCCTGGTACTCAGTGATATGCCAATTGCTCTATCAAATTTCCATTTTTGTACCACCCTTAATCTATGAGATTTCCTCTTGAAAACTTCCCTTTATTTTATAGAAAAGAAGTGCTTTGTGGGACCTGTGAAAATTATTTTTGAATGTCACAGTGATTTTAAAAACTTAAGATGCATCTACACTGTAGAATGAATTAAGTTTGATTCTACTTTAACTGTCATGGCTCAGTTCTGTGGAATCATGGTATTTGTAGTTTTATAAGGTCATTAGCCTTCTCCGTCAAATGGTGCTGGTGCTTCGCCAAAGTACAAATCCCAGGATTCCATAGATTGAGCCATGGAAGTTAAAATGGTCTCAAACTGCATTGATTTTGCAGTATAGATGGATTCTGAGATTCCCAAAGCTGAAACATTCAAAGCCATTTGGAATGTGGGGCACAGAATTTTTCAGTAAAGATTCAATGGACCTCACACAGAGTTTTTTAAACCTAATTTTTCCAGTCTGCTTCCCCCTTGAAAAGTTACAACTAAAGGCTAACAGACCTCCCAGAGTGGGACTTGATGGAGCTCCAATGTATTCAGCTGACAAAGGAAGCTGAACCCCTTTCAAATGATTTTGAATGGAGATAAAATGTTAGGATAGATTATTTACCACCTGAACACTCTCTTGCAGCTTTTCGCGACCAGCCCCATCTCGAGCCTCCAGGAACAGCAGCGATCCTGCTGGATTGAGAGGCTTGCTCCCAACACTGTAATTGCGAGGACGCTTTACTGTATCCGGACTGGCTAGTGGTGTGAAGCTGTTCCTTCTCATCCTTATAGGGTTTTGACTCTTTGGAAGGTTGTTCTGATTGAAAATGGAGGATATTGTAATGAGTGAGAAACCAAGCCACACAACTCTCATTTCAAAATTAGTATCATCGAGTATTTCCGATGCCTGGCATATATGCACATCATGATATCCATACTTTTACTTGACATGGCAACCTCTGATTCAAACATAATATAGGAGTCATACTGGATCAGACAAAAGTCCAGCTAGTTTTGCATTGTATTTCCATCATGTCAAACCAGTGTTGCTGGAAAGCCCACAGACTGGGCATTAGATATAAAGAGGCACCCTGAAAATGATACTAGATATTAGGCTTGTGCAATCCGGTTAAACCTTGTGGTTCTCTAGATGTGGTTAAGGGTTAGGGTTAGGGTTAGGGTTTGGTGTTCCAAAATTCGAAGCGTCTCCCGATCCATTTTTGGGGGCTTCCAGAATTTGGCTGGGTTTTGCCATTATGGCTACCGAAAATCCATTTTCAATCAGCCATTGGCAGCAATGGGAGGAGACAAACTCCCCTTCCTGTCATTTTAGGCATTGTTTGTCCTTATAGAACCGGATTAAAAGCATTAGAGTTAAGATACCACTCTTTCTGGGATTGTTTGTCCTTATATCCTTCATTAAGAACTGGATTAAAAGTATTAGAGTTAAGATAGCACTCTTTCTGGGATTGTTTGTTCTTATAATACCTTTCTATAGCCCTCCCAGCTGGGTACTGTGTTAGTGAGAAGTTGAGGAAATGTGGGAGGGGCTAGATGGGTGGAATAGCTGTGGGCTATAAAGACCATCTTAACCTGACCAGAGTACCTATTGGAGAGCTGAATCACATTGAATGTGTACACTTGAGTCTGAAAACTAGGGATAGACAGGGGATTCTGTTAGTGTACCGTCCACCCGGCTGTCTAACAAGATCCCTGGCCAAACTGGTCTTGGAGATGTTAATATATCCTTGGACCAACTGTTCTTATATACTTCACTAAAAGCATTAGAGTTAAGATACCACTCTTTCTGGGATCCTTTCCCTTCCATCTTTCAAAGAGACCTGGGTTTAAGAAAGGGCTTAAGAAACCCCACTTCCTGGGATCCTTTCTCCTTTCCCTTCTAGCGGCAGCCTCCCTTCCCGTATTCCATGTGTAACCAAAAGCAACCAAAAGCAGCTGGTTTTTGACAGCCACTGTTGCGTCCAAGAAAAAAAATGGTGGCAGAGCCCATACTGTTACAGACAATCAAACAAACTGAACAAGCCAAAGGTAAATGTCCACTATGAATCTATGCAAAAGCCTACTAGACATACATCATGACTAATAGTCATTGATGGTTATATCTTCCACTAATTTGTTTACTCTTCCTTTAAAGCCATCTATGTTTATGTGCATGTACCCATCTGTTCACCATAGAAAGTGGCTCAGTAGTGTATAAAAATGACCACAAATGGTATCTTGTGGGGACAATGGCTAACAGTAACCAGTTTTTTAAAATACCCAGACTTTCTCATAACTCAGTTAATTCTTCATGGTTTCTGAAGCTCATTAAAGCTTCTCTTTGGGAGAACAGAATGTTCTGTACCAGTATAGGATGTCACATAGAAGACTGAGATGGATAGCAGAAGGTAGTGGAAATGGGGCATCTCACCTTGCACAAACTACCACTAGATGCTACTTAAGCCTACACCTTCAAACTCCAGAGACTCTGCAAAAGTGTTATTATTAAGACAATCATGAACTTCTGGTGTAAAAGAATATTATATTTACTATTAAAGGATGTAGCAGGTGTTTCACCTTCCAACATCTGCAGTGAGAGCCTCCAGCTCACAGCAGGAAGGGCCTCTAGATGTCCCAGGCCTCTTCCAAACCCCAAATGGAAAAGGCTTGGCATTTATATGTTTGTCCAAGCAACTTAATTAAATAAACGTATGTACCTAGAAGCAGTTCTAGTAAAATTCATCTTCTATCTTTCATGTCTATGTGGAAAGATGAGAGAATGGAAGCTGACTAGTTTCCAAAGGAAAAGAAGTGAAATTAATTCATTCCCAGATGTTATTATCACTTAAAATACACTATTTTATAAGAAAGAAAAATCCCTCTGCCCTTCCAGGTTGTGAATTGTTTGTGTCTATCTCTTAGTTGCCTGTTTAACAGAGTAATACAAATACCATTTTAAAAAAATGCAAAAGCATTATTTTCCCTGATTAAACAGGAGCTTCTAATTAAAAGTTTTTGAAACACTCAAATATAATGAAAACATTAATGTGCATCACTACTCAACCCCCACATTTTCACTGTAATCACAAGTTGTGAATCTAGTTGATAAACAATATAATAATAATAATAATAATAATAATAATAATAATAATAATTTTATTTCTTATATGTCTCTCCTTGTGACTTGAGGCAGGTTACAATATTGCTAAAATAATAGTAATCTAAAAACATTTTATAAAATACACATATTAAAACATATTTCTATAAAAACACAGAACAAAGATTAAACATAAGACCCACATTTGTGATTAAAACTAGATAGACAGGCCTGCCGGAAGAGATAGGTTTTCAAATGTGTTTTCAATTCCAGCAGCTCATTTAGCTGTCAGAGCTCTTCCGGCAGGTCATTCCACGGTCTTGGGGTGGCTGATGGAAAGGTCACCAGTTGGGTTCTGCTGGGCTGGAGTATTCCCCCCCCCCCACCAGAGTACCTAAGTGTTCGGGGAGAAGGTGATCCTGAAGGTAACCAGGATCCAAACCCAGTAAGGCTTTAAGGTTAAAACCAACACTTCATACTTTGCTTTGAAACTAATTAGCAGCCAGTGGAGTGGCTTTAGTATAGGGGTAATGTGTTTACTTCTGGGTGTTTCTGTAACCAATCTGGCTGCCATATCTGGAACCAACTGGAGTTTCCAAACTTGATACAAATGTAAAGAGCATTGCAGAAGTCCTACCTTGACGTTACCAGCACATGCACTACTAACTTTAGGTCCTCCAAACCTAGAAAGGGGTGCAGCTGGCATATCATCAGCCAAAGGTGGTAGTAAGCACTTCTGACAGTCACATCTACCTGGGCTGACATTTGGAGAGACTGATTCAGGAGTGAAAACAGTCTTTCAGGGGGAGTGTAACCCCATCCAAAACTGGTTGAAACCCCTCCATTTCCAGATCAGAACCCTTGATAATAAACACCTCTGTTTTGTCTGGATCCAGTCTCTGTTTGTTTTCCCTCATCCAGCCCATTACCTCCTTTTGGCAATCATTCAGAGGAGACAAGCTATCTTTAGCTGATGCTGCTTTTGAAGGCATGGAGAAATAAATTGGGGTGTTATCAGCATACTGATAGCACTCTGTCGCATGCCTCCAAATGATATTTACTTGCTTTCTACATCCTCAATAAAATTCAATAATAAATATATTTTATGAAGGAAGAAAAGAATAGGGTATGTTGTTTCTGAAAAAAAATGATTGAGGAATGCTACAGGAAACCACTCCCTTAAGTTCTCGTAGGCTAACATGAATATGGTTTCACACTCAATGACCCCTTATTATGTAGGTTTATTTATTTTTCAGATATAAAATTTCTGTTATTTTTCTTAAACAAACATTAGTTCTTTGCCTTGGAGTAGAGCTGTTGCACTCAAGAGTTTACTTTGGTTACAAAAGAACAAAGGAAATTTTATGCTCTCTATAGGTGATCATCATCCTTTGATATACGAGTGTAGGAAAGTTTCCTCACAAGTACTCTGCAGACACACACTTGCCACAGGATTGAGCCAACAAAATTCTGAATCCTTATGCTTTTCTCAGCTTTCATACTATACAGTCATAATATTTAAACTTTTTTTCATGTCAGGACTGACTGGAGAAACTGCAAGTCACTTCTGATGTGAGAGAATCAGCCGTCTGCGAGGGTGTTGCCCAGGGGATGCCTGGATGTTTGATGTTTTGACCATCCTGTGGGAGGCTTCTCTCATGTCCCCGCATGGGGAGCTGTAGCTGACATAGAGAGGTCACCCGCTCTCCCCCGATTCAAACCGCTGACCTGTTGGTCAGCAGTCCTGCTGGCACAAAGGTTTAATCTATTGCGCCACCGGGGGCTGCAATATTTAAACTGCTATAGCACAATTTTGGAGCCCCCGGTGATGCAGTGGGTTAAAGCGCTGAGCTGCTCAGCTTGTTGACCAAAAGGTCACAGGTTCAAATCCAAGGAGTGGTATGAGCTTCAGCTGCCAGCCCCAGCTTCTGCCAAAGTAGCAGTTCGAAAACATGCAAATGTGAGTAGATCAATAGGTACCGCTCTGGCGGGAAGGTAACGGTGCTCCATGCAGTCAATGCCGGCTCTTCGGCTTAGAAATGGAGATGAGCACCACACCCCAGAGTCGGACATGACTGGACTTCATGTCAGTGGGAAACCTTTACCTTTACCCATAACACAATATTATGGACTCCTAGGTTTTGTAGATTGGTAAGGCCTTAAGAAGTTCTTTTTCCTAAACTGCAAATCTTAGGATTCCATAGGAAATTGAATCAAAGTGCTATAATTTGTAAAGCTGTCAAGAAAAAAATAAGAATACAGTGCCTTTTCCTTTCACAGGAATTACATTGCAGTATTTGTCCCGAGTGGCAGGTATGTCAATACAATGCCTGAGTCAGACTGTTCTGCGCTTTTCAGCCCACACATTATTTTTTTCATGAGGAATGTTTTCATCTTTTTTTATAAATGCAGTAACATAGGGAGACCTCAAACTAATACCAGAAAATATGTTCATAATCTAATCCAACCACAGTGCTAAAAAGCAAATCTTATAGTCTGCCCCTAACTTTCTCCTATGGTGCTACTCAATATCTATACAAAATATCTTGTCATTTTCAAATTTTCAGGATCATTTTGCTCTGTATGTGGCCTTGAACACACGACTCAGAGAGAGCAGGGGGTTAAGAGGACTGATCCCGCCTTCCCCTGTCCCCTCTCAGATTCACTCTGGTGCTTTTGCAAGCATCCCCAAAGGCAACAGCAATAACCAGGAGCACTTTTGCACTCTATGGTTGTGCCTATGACAGTAACAAGACAGCAATGATAAGGGTGGCCATCTAGTGGCTCCAAATTGGGTGTGGTGGCACTGAATGGTGTGGACTCCTTTCCACAGCAGAACAAAGGTCACCAGTGCAGACATTCTTCCATCACCACAGCGACACGGAGACTGGCTATGTGGGCTCTCCCAGTCTGATCTGGAGTGCACTCTAGATCAGCCACTGGGGGAAATGGCCCTTGTAGATCACCCTGAGTTCCCAGTGATCTGATCTTTCCGGCAAACCAAGGAGCCCAAAACAGTAGCACCTACTCATGATATTACAACTGTAAAAAAGAAAAAAAAGCATAACTCCTCTCTGTATCACAATCATCTTGTATACAGATTGCCATCTTGGCCCTTTGAGGAAACAAAGTATTACACCTCCCTGTTATGACACACTGATATGCATAACATGTATTTGTGTGAGCCACTTGAATTCAGAGATGGTATCTCATGTTTCTTAGCACATTATACAAAAATACTGGCATCTATGAATTTCTACTTATCCAGTACTTTAATCTCCCAGTGAAGAGTTAACCATGACTCCTATAATAAGTGGTGTATTTGCGGGTGAAGTGAGGTTTACTGCTCCCCTTTCTGTCACAGACCTCTGAACTGGCTGGATTAATGTTTTCTCGCCTTTTGACAGTGCAGACAGGGAAGGCAAAGGTTATTCACAAAGCAAGCATATCAGTAATTAGTCAATGTTGCCCTCTATTCACTATATGGTTCACAGAATTAGAGGTAATCCAATTAATTCCCAAGAATAAAAACATGTGACTGAGTGAGAGCAAAGTCCAGATTTTGAAAGAGATGATTTATAACAACTGTGATCTTCCCATTTTAGAGCTAATTGATGAAGTCATGCAAACAGGCTGCATTCAGAACACGCTGAGGTTTTTCTTGTTGCCTGATGCCATTAAAATACATTTTAAAGGCCTACCAACAGAAAATTAGAAAGCTCAAGTCTATTTTTTCCCAAGATCCCATCCCCCAAATAGAAGCTTAAAAACAAAGAATATCATGCCCATTGCTATTATGTTCAAAGCATCTTGCAATCTATTTTAATAATTAAAAAGGAACTTGCGTATTGTTGATTTACTTTGACATTCTAATCTGAGAATAATAATAATAATAATAATAATAATAATAATAATAATAATAATAAAAAACTTTATTTGTACCCCGCTACCATCTCCCCAAGGGACTCGGTGCGGCATACATGAGGCCAAGCCCACAGCACATCAAAAAACAAAGACGATAACAAATAATCAATACAAAACAGGTAAAATAAAATAAAAACTCAAAAACAAAAAATACACAATACACAATAACAATAACAATAACATACAGCATTTAAAAACCAAAAACCAATATATCCATTATTTCTTCAAAAAGCAAGTTACCAAAACAGATTTAGTTTATATCAATTTTGCTTAGTGTGCCAGGAAAAAACACACACTTAACCTCTTTCTTGAGTGACCACACAGTACATCCTATTTGCATGAATATATTAACTTTTCATTTATTTTGAAAGGCTTTATACCAGTGGTTCCCAACCTTTTTTTTAATCAGGGAGCACGGTGACCAGAGACCACTCTCCAACATTAGTACCAAAAGAGTTACAAATTGGTTTTTGGTCAACTTTAGATTTGGTTTGGTTATTTGGAGTGCCAATTCAGAAAACTGCACTGGATAGACCACATCAGCTCTAGTTTCTGATACAGAACATATGCCATCCAGAAGTCGTTATCTGCTCACACACAGAAAACCATATTGAATAAGCCTCAGCACTATAAGAAGGTTTTGCGAGACCAGTTGCTCTCATTGCAATGGTATGGTAACGGTGAGACCGCTAAACATATTTTAGTTCTTGAGGACCACTGCTTTATACCAACTAATGCAGTACTGATGCTAATGTGTAGGCTTCCAGACAAAGTCCCAATTATCAATTACCATTGGTTTTGCTGCCTAGGGCTGCTGGGAGTTGCAATTTAGCAACATCTCTGGAGGGCAGTGCATTATCTATATTTGCTTTACAGTGGGACATGATGAAGTCAAAGCACTTGGGCACAATTTAATGAAACAAACAGAGCTTGAACTAAGAACTTTAATCCAAATGCTTCAATCTAACTCAGTCCCCCTACTTTTAGCAGCATGGAAAACAAAAGACATGAGCCAGGAGTTATATATAGTACATACCGTTGTGGATGGCTTGTCTCGGTGTGTATCTACAGCTTCAACATTCAGGGAAATCATTTCTAATTTGCATCCTTCACAAATTTGAAAATGTAATATATTTAAAATTATGCACTGTTGTAAGAGAAGTACTATAATCAAAAGCAATGTCTGCTAAGAAAAAAAAAATCCCAAACCATTCCTCAAAATACCAGCTCCATTTTTTTTATCATAAGAAAAACTCCAACAAGATAAAGCAAGTTTACACTTCCAGATTTATGAAAGAAAACCAAGTTTCAGGTAAAGTGTCAATTCAGTTCTTGTGGGTTTTTTCGGGCTATATGGCCATGTTCTAGAGGCATTTCTCCTGACGTTTCGCCTGCATCTATGACAAGCATCCTCAGAGGTGACCTCACCTCTGAGGATGCTTGCCATAGATGCAGGCGAAACGTCAGGAGAAATGCCTCTAGAACATGGCCATATAGCCCGAAAAAACCCACAAGAACTGAGTGATTCCAGCCATGAAAGCCTTCGACAATACAAAGTGTCAATTCTTTACAAAATTGGTTTACAAAATTGTTAAACTGAAACTTTGATTTCTAACACAGGTCTGTCCTATAAATTCTTTTCTCTCTGTTGTTTCACACAATCCTTATCTACTCATATGTAAAAATATATATATTTACCATAAGCAACTGGTGTGAGTTTTAAGATGGTGTGAAGAGGGCACCTCAAATAGGGCAATTCATCTAGAAGAAAACATGTGGGAATTACAATCAAGATATACCAGGCATGGTCCAAACTATACTATTTATTTTGTCCAGCTCTTCCAATTGCATAAATTTAACAGAACTGTAATTACAAACTTTTGTGAATGAGTTCCTCTCTTGCAGAGAAGTCTTGCAGTTAATAATAACATTATTTTTAACTGAGTTGAAGAAGGCAGTTAGCTGCATCCAGTATATTTCATTTTCCATTGTTCGTGCTTTTTCACTTTGTACTTCATCCACTGCCCCGGCCCTTAGTTATGTTATTTGCACTATCCCTTGCTCAGCCCTTATATAGCTTGATCATGCCCATGTTAGAAAGCAGGTCATTGGTTTATGTTGAACATGGTCTGATAGCAGCTATATTACAATCTGTTTTATTCTGTTATGTTTAGTGTGTTTATTTGGGTTGTTGTATTTCATGATGCTCCTATTTCAATGTGTTTTATTTTATGGATTGTTTTGCTTTTATGTTTTATTGATATTTTCTCCCATATGTAAGCTGCCTCGAGTTTGGGGAGATAGTGGCGGGATATAAAAATAGAGTTGTTGTTGTTGTTGTTGTTGTTGTGTTACTGTTGAGAATTAAAATATCAATGTGATGTGTAAAAGTCAACATGATCTTATTATCTTGTATAATAATATTTATTATTTTGTGTTATCTAGTATGTTTCCCTTTTGATATATAGCATATACATAAAATCCAAGATACTGAGCAGCATTCAAAAAACATACATCCACAGTAAAAGCAAAAGTTAACAAAGGTTTTGTACAAATATAAGTAAGATTAATATTCCTTACATCTCTAAGGGTGTATCTAACTGTAGAATTAATGCAGTTTGACGCCACTTTAACTGCATGGCTCAGTGTTTTGTAATCCTGGGAATTGTAGTATTACAAGATCTTTCGCTCTCAAAGAATACTGGTGCCTCACTAAAACTACATATCATAGAATTCCATGGTACTGAGCTATGGCAGTTAAAGTGGTATCAAATTGCATTAATTCTATAGGGCAGATGCACCCATAGAGACCAAGGATTAAATTATAGTCCAACCTACGTTTGTACATAACCTTTGTTAATTTCTTTATTTACTATAGTTATGTGTGTGCTTTTGATTTCTGCTCATTATCTTGAAGGGCCCCCTGGTGGTGCTGCGGGTTAAACCACTGAACTGCTGAACTTGCTGACCGACAGGTCAGTGGTTCAAAATCAGGGAGTGGGATAAGCTCCTGCTGTTAGGTCCAGCTTCTGCCATCCTAGTAGTTCAAAAACGGAAGGTAACGACGCTCCATGCAGTCATGCTGGCCACATAACCTTGGAAGTGTCTACGGACAACGTTGGTTCATCAGCTTAGAAATGGAGATGAGCACCACCCCCCAGAGTCAGACACAACTAGATTTAATGTCAATGGGAAACCTTTATCTTATTATCTTGGGTTTTATGTATATGCTATCCATCAAAAGGACACCATTAATTTTATAGTACAGATGCACCTCAAGTATACCTTTTAGTTGTTACCTGTTACAATACTTATTTTACCAAAGTATACTTGCATATCTATTCCCTTCCTAGCTAGAAATCACTCACTTTAGGTTGAGAAAAAGATCTTATATATTCACATGTTGTTGTTTTTTTTAATACAATGACTGGCAAGGACACACAAGATTCACTCCATACACTGCAGTCCTGATCATCATCCTCATTCTGTACATGGTTGCTTATTTGGTATTATGTGAATTTTGGTTCATTATTTTTCTAGAGAGCAACCTCCCCTGTTTCAGTAAAGACATTAAAAGAACTTGGCTTCTTACCTGCACTTTTATCAAGGAAATATGCCAATAAGCACCTTATAACTGCCTGGTGAGCAATAACTAGGACATTGCCCTGACGTTCCAACTCCATGATCACAGGTTCCAAGCGTTGGACCAAATCTTGATAAGACTAGAAAACAAGAAGCACATTAATAAAGGGAAGAAAAGCATTTATCTGATTTCACAGATTGAAAAGGTAAGGTTTCAAACTATTTCGTAATAATCTAAGAAAAACTTTTGATTAAGTTATGATTACTTTTTCAATCTCTTTCACAGCCAGTGTACTTATATTCTAAAGGTTTTTACTATATTTAGCAGCTGTTGCTATAAAACACTACCCATCCCTTTAAACATATCAAATAAATATCACAGCAGGTCATTAACTGATTATAAAAGCTCCTCACTTCTCCTCCAGGGTAGCGATAAAGGTATTTGTCTTGGTCCCGAAGTGCAAATTCCTCTGGATATTTTCTTTGAATTTCTTCATAGGTCATTTCTTCACATACTCCCTGGGAAAATGGGAATTAATTCCAAAAGATTAAAAGGGAAAGAAGTGAAATGTGGCATTTAACAAACCTTGTTGGCTGCGGTCTATGGAAATGAGTGGAACTAATTGACAAAGATTATAGAAACTCTCGTTTCAGAAATTGAGGAGTGGCTTTACACTATAAAATTGGATCTTTAGATCCCTGTAATGTTGGTAACATGAGTTTATGTACATAGGACTGCAGTTATAATTTCAGAGTAGGCATTGTTCAATTCATTGGATTCCTCTTTGAATAAACAGTCAAAAAGTTATATCACACAATTTTGAAATTAAGACCAGTGATGAACTTCATTGAATATACCAATTTGATCTAATCAGCTTGGATCTTGTGACTCCTTAAATAAAAGTTTTTTCTAAAAAAAAAAGTTTTATATTCTTATGGCAAAACAAGTTACAGGCACACTTTATTTAACAAAGCCTCTGGCAAAGTAGATGCTTTCTATAAAGCATAAATATGCCTCTTCTGTCCCCACTTTTTTTCTCCTTGGTCTCTGACCACTTGACCTTTTTTTCCTGCAGCATCAACATTGGGAGGATAGTGAAGGAGGATTGGAGAAATATAGACTTTTGGTGGCAAGTTGCATCCGTACATATGCAATAAAGAATGCAATAAAGCTTGAGTTGGGAAAGAGCAGGATTTTAGTCCAGAAGATTCTATGTATGCTTGCAAACAATAGGCAAATTAAACACTACCAGCCTCACACTATACAGAGCCTGTGTGAACAATATACCAAAAAGGAAAGCAAAGAAGCCTGCCTCATTTTAATACCCTTGGGGTGTTAAAAAAAAGCACAGGTTTAAAAATGTGGTCCCTAAAATGAAAACCACGAGGGGACATGAGAGAAGCCTCCCATAAGGATGATAAAACATCAAAACATCCGGGTGTCCCCTGGGCAACTTCCTTGCAGGCAGTCAATTCTCTCATACCAAAAGCGAATTGCAGTTTATCAAGTCACTCCTGACACACACAAAAAATGAGAAAAGTGGAAGCTGATGGAAGAAATCAGTGAATGCCTTTTTGAAGAAGGTTTCCATTATACAGATTCGATATCTACAATTTCACTTACTCCCACTCCAAAATAAAATCCCTCTCAGATTTCTCTGCATCTTGGAAGGGGGTTAGACTGTATGGCCCACGAGGTCTCTTCCAGTTCTAAGATTCTATGATTCTATATTTGCTGTTTCTCCTTCAGTGTGAGTCTATAGTATGCTTCCAGCCCAAGTATAATCAAAATATAGGGTTGGATTATCCATCATTGAGATACCTACATGGGGTCTTGGAATATATCCTCTGCAGATCTAGGGGTTGTACTGTAGTCTCCAGAAGGCTCATAATATGAAAGAAGATAAATATTTCATAAGTCAACATAATATTATTGACTTATTAAAGAGTTATCTTGTTTCATTTCACATGGGCATGCTCTTGATTTGGGATAAGAAATTTACTGAAATATATCAGTTTGCTCTTATTGTTTTGTCCCTGATCTTTCTGATTCTGGTTCCAAATTTCCTGTTAAAGAAACTAAGGTTTATCTGCATTTGGTAAAGCCATCTTCCCCCACCATTCTAGCCCAATGATTTCCCTTTTACTCACAGCATCTATCTCATTCAATATCTTCCATTGTTCATATGGTACTCCCAAAGCCTCTGCTGTCTGGATTGTTCGTTTCAGCTGGCTGGTCCAAACCTTCAGATCCACTATCTCCTGCTCTTTGAGGAACTTTTTCAGTTCTTGTGCAAACTAGGAAGAAATGCAGTACAACAGACAGGTTAGAGCAACTTTAACTCTTAAGATGAAAACATTGGTCTAAGCTTGGTAACTACTCTGATTGTCAGTGGAAGTGTAGATGATGTTGATCTCTGGGAGAGCAAGACATTTCCCAAAACAATGAACAAAAAACAAAAATCATGGTTGAATTCAACTGGTATCCCTGTTGTTGATGGATGTTTGATCCAGCACATAAAAAGGCTGGTGGTATTTGGGGACTACTCCAAATAAGGCAGATAAAAAGCAGAGGCCAACTCGTGTGGCCTTTGCTTTTTATCTTAAACAAAATCGAATGGCAGAAAATTATTACAAGCTTTCTAATATACAAAAATAGGACACATCTTAAATGCCAAGAATCTCACCTGCTTTCCTCGAGTTGACAGACCTGAATCTCCCCCAATCTTGCTGACAAGGTTGCACTCACTTTCACCATGTCTACAAAGATAGATGGTGCGTGGCTGAACATGAATATTCATGAGGTAATAGACTATTTTACTTTGGATGTAATCCTGGACACGGTTGACAAGAAAGCGCTGTCCTACATTGATCACCTTAATAAAAGAACGGTCTCTAGAATGAAGAAAACAACAAAAACATTAGGTATCATCACATCGTGACATTAGAATTTAAGAGGGTTGAATTAGTAAATGTCTTTTGCCATGTATGTGTTTTACAGTCCTAAAGCATTTATACATGATTAACTTTGCCCATGTTGTCACCATTCTGTATTTGATTGAAGGTAAAGGTTTCCCCTGACATTAAGTCTAGTTGTGTTTGACTCTGGGGGGTGGTGCTCATCTCCATTTCTAAGCTGAAGAGCTGGTATTGTCCATAGACACCTCCAAGGTCATGTGACCAGCATGACTACATGGAGCATCATTACATTCCCACAGAAGAAGTATCTATTGATCTAATCACATTTTAATGTTTTTGAACTACTAGGTTGGCAGAAGCTGGGGCTAACAGTGGGCGTTCACCCTCCTCCTTGTATTTGAACCATCAACCAGCTAGTTCAGCAGCTCAGCTGTTTAATCCGCTGCACCATCAGGGGGTCCATATTTGATTCATCAGTCACTAAATTATGGAATACAGTAATTTGTAGAAAGTTAGGACAATGACAATCTTTCTAAACAAAAATAGGCAAGTTTAAATGAAAAGTTTTATTTATCTAGTTGTAAAAGATGGAAAGGAATTTTGTGTTGGGTGAAAGGAACTTGGTACAGAACTGCCATTTCTAGAGTACAACAGAATGGCTCTGAATGTTCTAACCAAGTAGGGCAAAAGGAAATTCAACTTAATTTAACTTCCCCTCCCTTTGCAAGATGAAGGGCATCTGAAGCAGTAAGAAATTCCTGTTTGACATAATAACATTCTGCAAACCATTATGTTTCACCGCATAGTAGACTCTGCTCCTCTGCTGTTTATATTTCTACTCTTGAGTCCTTCCTGATTCTTTTAAATGCCAATGGAAGGAGGTGGTAATTTTCCCATTTCATTCGGTGAAGTCTTGCGGATCAGGAAGGCCTTGGGAAACCCATCCTGGATGTGGCACAGAGGGCTGGTCTGGGCAGGAAGGCTCACTGAAAATTGGGCAAGACAATTTCTGTGATCGGTATATCTGTCGCTATAAGTTTCTCTTCCTGGTCTTTAGCAATGGTCCTCGCAATGACCCTCTTTATGCCATCTTCAAGAATTGCACTTGCTCCCAATTTCCTTCAGAGGTCAATTCAAGATGCTGGTGTTGCCCTACAAAGCCCTAAATGATTGAGACCAAGATATATGACAAATCTCCTCTACCAATATGAGCCTGACAGAAACTTGAGATCATCAGATGAAGCCTTACTGCATGGCCCAACACCTCATGAATTTATACCGGTGGATAAACATAACAAAGCTTTCTCTCTACCAGTGGCTTGATTGTGATACTCCCTATCCAAAGACATTAGGCTGGCCACATTTCTTTTAAACTTCTGCTGGACAGTCAAAATAGTGGTGTTCTGCATGACATTCAATGTCTGAAATTGCTGATTTAAATCTGGATTCCAGAATTCTTTTTTATTGCTTTTAGGAGTTGTTAAAGAGGATTTAAACTTTTTTAAAGTACTGCTGTATTGTTTTAATTGATTTTTTTATTTATTTGTCACTTTGGGAGCCATCAGGAGGTGGTTAGTGATGCAATCATAACCTTAAATCATTATTATAATTGCCACCATCATTTTACAGCCCACTCAATTCAACAGATGCTTTTTGAGAGACTCTGAGAACGGCTGCTAGTGATCAGAAATTCACCTTCCATTATCCCTGTCCATCGGCTTATATCTGAATTCAAGCCCCCCCCCCCCCCCAAAATTCCTTTTCTATCCATCTTACTTGTCATAATCAACTGGATCCAGAGGTTGGTAAGTGACTTTGTAGCACTCTATTCGCTTCAGGAAGTCATCCATCACATTCTCTCGGTTTCTTTCTGGGTAGTCAGGGCTGGAGACCTTCACTTCCTGAGGGAATAAAAAAGGACTCTTTAAAAGTTAAGAAAACTTTTTAAAATATCCAAAAATAAACACTAGGGGAAATAAACAGACATTATGAAAATGTCTGTCTGCTTCTGGCACAGAAACAGAGACATTTAAATGAATGCCCTAGCATTCACTATGGGGAAAATAAATTGTTCTTCCTTTCAACTCTGCATGCAAGAATGTTCCAGTACAATCTTCACACAAAAATATGTCCCAAGACCAACAATTGAACAATTTCAAATTACTTTTCAAAGTTACAAAATTTATGTAACACATCTGTTTGTGTTAATCTCCTATCCCTGAATAAATAGTGACTACACTCTTCAAGCACTGAATCTCCATAGATAACGGCCCAGTTTTTATAAGAAGATGTACTTTAAATGCAATTTATTTATTCTTGACATTTGTAAGCTGCCTTATAGGAAAATTCTCATACAAAACTGAATGTAAAACTATCTTCTCAAATGCAGCCTAACAGACAATAGCTAACAGAATTTGGAAATAATAATTAAAATGGCTAATTAGTTTTGTTCAACAAGAACAAAATTATAATTATATTCCATTATGATTTCAAGTTAATGAGGAATAACTCCACCCTTTTGTTGTGAAGCTGCAACACTTCAATAGCTTTTATAACCATGCCATATAGCCTTTATAAATAATGGGAGTAGATATCATATGATTTGTGTATAGGATCATGTTTCAGCCTGCTACTTTGCACTCAATTGTGAATGCAGAGGAAGATAGATAGATGGCAGAGACAGCAGATGGAAAGAGAATGTATTTTGTAAAATTCAGATGTTTCTACAAAAAAGTAGTAATTTTAGTTATACCTGAGAAACAAAAAAGTAATGTGTTATCTTTAAAAAAAACTACTTGGAATTATAATTGCAACCAAGTTCTTAAAAGCATTTTCTAACTTCTGAACAAAACAAAACTCACAGCATGCCATCCAAAAATAAACAGCACAACTTATCTCAGTTACATGAATTATTTAAAAGGCCTCAGTAAGTAGATCTTCATCAGACCCTGAAAAGACTACAGGGATTTGTCACATGAATCTTTCTGGGAACATCTTAAAAGGCCCTTTCATTGGCAGTTATCCATCTATTTAATTGAGTGGGAGCACTCCATGTAACACCTGGAAAGATAATCTTAAATGTGTAAAGGTGATTCTAGGAGATCATGCTGTTTCAGTGGTATTTAAAATGCAACTGCACCAGAGTTAATATGTAAAATATGCACAGTGTAGATACAACAGAGCAAAGAAGGAAGATCAGTAATATAATGTTCCCATGAGATATTGTCCCATATGAAAGGAAATATTACTGGGGACAGCTTGATTCCTGCTTTTCTATAAAGAAAAGGGCCACTTAATCCTGGATTATTTAACCATTAATGGTAGGCTCACTTCATGTTTTGAGAAGCGCATATCTGAAACTGAACCTAAATTTAAGAGACCTTTTTCATTTTTTCCACCCATCTACTTGCCAAATTATTAAAATCAATGGCCAAACAGTTTAGCCCACTACCACCTGGTTAAATGCACATTATGCAGACTGAGAATAAGGCAGGGTTTCAGATATGAGTATCTTCCTGCCTTGTTTTGAAACGATATGCAAACTACATGAACCTGGGATCTTTTGCATGCAAAACATATGCTCTATTAGTGAGCATGTTGCCTTAAACTTGTCACTTGGATAAGATTTATTAATGTAGTGAATACTCATGCTTTAGCATCAAACACAAGAGATGCATTAATTATTGAATACATCTTAAATATGACCAAAATAGAAATCTGTCCCCAGTGATACTGAAACAATGCCAGCAATTTTAATGGTTGTGAGTTTATTATGCTAGAGCATTATGTGGCCAGTTTCCTGAGCATATAGAATACTAACCAATATATTAGCAGCAATGACTTCTGGGTCATCACAGACAGACTCCACAAAAAATACCTGTAAAAGAAAGGGGAGATGTTTAATAAAATAAAGATTCCCATATGGCAGCCTTTCCCACTTCAAGTGTCTCCAGAAATCTGAATTAAAGCAGATAGTATCCCTGACTATTTGTGCACTGGATGGACAAAATATCTGGATGGCACCAAATTGCAAAACATGTTTTTATGGAAACACAAACTGTATTTACATTAGTTGTTTCAATATTTCCACTCAACTTTTGTGCCTACTGCAACCATGGATCTCTAAAATTCCTATAGTAATAATAGAATTTACTACAAGCAGTCCCCGGGTTACAAGCATCCAACTTACAGATAACTCATAATTAAAAACAGGGGTGAGATAACAGGAAGTGAAAGAAATCTATCCCTAGAAAGGGAAATTCACTCCTGAAAGAGTTATCATGGGGAAAAGGTGTCTTCACTGAAGCTTTATCACCAATCCTTGTTTCCACAACACACATTTTTTTTCAAAATCCAATGATCACAGAGACAGATCCCTATGCGACCCAAAATGAAATATAGATAGAGAGAGAGAGAGAGAGAGAGAGAGTTTTGGCCAGAGTTACACTTTTAAAAATGTACTTGTTCAGTCCTATATACAAATTCAACTTACAAACAAACCTACAGAACCTGGACATTCCACAGATATATAAACCCCATTTGCCTTGTTTTCAACAAATCTCACAACCTCTGAGGGTGCCTGCCATAGATGTGGGTGAAATGTCAGAAGAGAATGCTTCTGGGACATGGCCATACACCCCGGAAAACTCACCACAATCCAGCTCTTACTCTTGTTATAAAAGCTCTTCAACAGATAATGTAGTGTTTTATTGAACAACCACAAGCACTGGAGGCATGTGAGAAAGAGACAAAGCCAATCTTCTTCTATGGGGTAGCCTCCTGCTACTCCTATAGAGCTGACTGCATGCACATTGGTTCTGAGGGCAGCTTTGTAGATAAAAGACTTATTATAGGCAAACTGGGGGGTTATATTGAATGAATTGCACAACTGCTTTCCTCAGTTAACACGAATCCCCACATTTTCTTGCTAAACCGCCAATGGGAACCACATCTTTTAATCTGCAAAGCTCCTGATGCTGCACAGTGTAATATCTATAGGGGCTCTTTCTGATTTGACATCAGGGTAAAGTTGCAATGAAGTAATTACCTTAAAAGAATTTTCTTTAGCAAAATTTAAAATCATGTCCCGCCTCTCCCGGGTTGTGTTTGTTGCATCAAAGACCTAAACAAAAAGACAGATTTGTAATTTATTTAAGTAGCAATAGCTATGATTTCTAGAATTGTCTGTGGAATTTAGGCATCTGTATTAATACTAGTATCACTGTAAGTCACTATCTCTAGATAGTGTTAAACCTCAGCTATTGCATCAACTGTACTGCATAAAAACCTAGTTAAGATCATAACTGCATGCTGAATCCCAAAGAATTTAACTACACAGAGGACTGAGTTATATATGCATTCTATTTTAATAGATAGAGAAATAAAAGTCTTCCACTGATATGTATAGGAATTAAAAATACTGTGTGTGAAGCAGGGCTTAATCACAATTGAATCTGCATACTAAAAGCATTTACATTTTTTCTGTCTCCAAGAGAACAGCATTGCTTGCAATCACTACAAACCAATAGTAGGACTCATGTGACCCTCCTGATGCTGGTGAACTGCAATGCACAACAGCCTAGCAAAGTGGAGGAGTGATGTGAATTGCAGTCGATGTCTTATGTAAGACTGGTATGGACACACAAACAAATTCACACACCCTTTCTAAAGCTTTTAAAAGATTAGTACTTTGAAATTTTGGGAAGGGGTGCTCCATACTGACTACAGTGTATTTCCCCTATAAAACAGAAGTCCTCCGCTTGAGTCAGAAGTCTTGAAGTGTTTGGGTTTGCATGATTTTCTGCAAGGGACTTAGAAATCCCATGCCCCAAGGAACCAACAACTGGAAACAGTATTAGGATGTATCCTCACTACACAATTACAATACTTTGCTGTTGCTTCAACTACAATGGCTACATGGTATGGGATTCTGGCATCTGTAGTTCAACAGAACAGTTATAATTTCTCAGTGTACTCCCCCAACTTCAGTATGTCACGAAGCTACTAATTCCAGAATTTCATAGGTTGGAACCACAGCAGTCAAAGTGGTATGAAAATGCTATCATGACTCACATTTATTTATTCAGATATTTATTCTGTTTCAAAAATTTTGACAAGATAAAAGCAATAACTCCCATATATTCACAAGCAACTTCAAATATAACAAACTCTAAAAAGCACACACAAAAATGACAAATAAAGTTCAGAAATAATATTTAAAAGCCCCGGAAGAGTAAAAAGGGTTTTGCTTGGTACTTCAAAAATTAGTTTTGATGCCAAGCACACTTCTTTGAAGAGGAATTACATAAGTAAGATGTCTGCAGCTGGCACTTTGGGTAGCTGTGATGGAACCAGGAACCAAACAACCAATCCTGTTGACATCTGTCTTCCCATCCCGCTTGGTTTAAAAATAACATTAGCTCAATGCTCTTAGAATTTTCTGCAGTCATTGCTCCAGTTCAATGGGAAATTAAGATGATGGTAAGATTGCTGTCAGAAAGAAAGGATGCATCAAAAGGCAGCTCTCAACAGAACTAGAAAAAACACCTTCTCCCTGACAGAGTGATCTAAGACCATCTTTAATCCAAACACACATTTGAGAAATTCCTTTCTTAATATTTTTGACATGTATTGGTATGGCAGAAGTGCTCCTGTTGCAACTCTCCCTCCTGTGTCCTTTAAATCCAAACATGACCTATTTGTGGGGCCCAAGTGTGTACCTACAGCAATCTGGCCAGACTCCTCCATGAGATAAGCTTTCACATCCTCAAGAGCCACCAAGGCACACTGTCTGCAAAAAATATAATGAGCAATTAGAAGGATGAAAATAATTCTGAAGCTATAAGAGGCCAAACTGCCTGTGAAATCATTCAGTGAATCCCTTTTACATCTAGATTTTTATCCCTCCGTTTTGCTTTTTTAAAACCAAAATTACAGACTTCCTTTAAATTTGGCAAAACTTCAACCACTTTTGTGGCAATTCACAGAGTGGGCAGTTTAGTGCACACAATTTCTGGATTTAAAACAAGTGAAAAAGCCCTAAGGCTGTGTCCTATTACGAAAATCCTTGTAGTCTTCAAAGTGGTTTATCAGGAAGCAAATTTCAAAACAAAACATTTTTAACATTCTTGCAAAGGTATTTCATATTCAACCAACACCTTTTACATTTTGCAATCATCCACCTCATTTGTAAAATGAAGCACCAACAGCTAAACTTCATTTTAGAGCCAAATTTTAGTTTTTCTGTTATTGAAATTTCCTTTTAAAAAGACTACAATATTCTAGATCCTCAGTTCCATTACCTGGCATCCCACATCTATCAAGCTGCAATTATGGCACAAGAGCATTTAAATTCAATTCACTAGCTTCATGCAGCGCTTCTCTAAAATGAATGAGATATTTCATTTAAAAGCTTGTTTCTGAAATAATTGTGTAATTGTTTGAGTTTAACTCAAAATAAACAGTACTACAAGTCATGAGAAAGTGAAGTTGAAGTATAAATAACTGTCAGTGGCCATTGTACAAGAAATGTTTATCTTGTGTGGAATCTTGATTTCAAACTCTGAGAAATCAGGTGTGTTTTGAAACATTAAACTTGAAGCCACTGCCTTTGAAGAAGGTTCAGATATTCCCCCTCCCCCCAACCCCAACCTGGTCAGGCAGAATATATACAACAACGCATGCTCCATGTTTCATGAATCTGAAATTAATCCCTCTTTTTATTTCCTTTACCTATTGTACTCTTTCTTACTTTTAATCTATTTTTCTTTACATTTCAACTACATCTATGACCTTTCTCTGAGGTGAAAATTACTCAGGCACAATTCAAAACTTGAGTACATCAAGATTGTCCAGAAAAGTGGATTTTCTCACTTATAATCATCCGCCACATCCATTAAACATCAATATAGTCCTATTTTACACTGGTTGCTCATGGACAAAATGGAACATATCCAGAGAAGGGTGACCAAAATGACCAAAGGTCTGGAAGCCAAGTCCTATGAAGGACACCATTTTACTTCACCATTGTATATAATGGGAATTGAGCATCCATAAGTTTTGGTATCCACAGGAGGTCCAGGAACCAAACCACAGTGCATACTAAGGGACCACTGTATTGCTTTAATGCATTAAAAACAAAACCGCATATTGGACTATGGAAATTAATATTTAGCACTCACTTTCGAATCTTCATCGCTTCGGCATTATCATGTCTGAAGAAATCATATGATTTATATGATCTTACTGCTTCACGGCGGTACACACCTAAATTAAACACTTTGAAAAGGAAATGAAGAAAACCAGTTGGCAACTTTTAATAATAAAGCCTCAACTCAGTGACTCGAATGCCTGTCTTCATAGTTTTTGAAAGCCAAAAATATTATTAGCTAGTAAGTAACTGTAAACATTAAAGTTTTCACTTATTTACATCACTGTGTAACAATGTAAAGCATTTGGTGCTATTTTTGCAGCCATCCCCTATAGCAGGCATGAGCAAACTTGGGCCCTTCAGGTGCTGCAGACTTCAACTCTCACAATTCCTAACAGCCAGTAAGCTGGCTGGGATTTCTGGAAGTTGAAGTACAAAACACCTGGAGGGCTGAAGTTTGCCAATCCCTGCCACACAGGATTTATAATGGGATAATTGATTTCTGTGAATCTTCCAGAACCTGAAGGGCTATAACTCCTATTCCTTCACTGTTGGCTATTCTAATGGGAATTGCAGTCCATTATCTAGTAGGTCACATACCAACACATAACGAATAACCTTACAGCCATTCTTAAATATGGAGATTAAAAATCATAAGGTTGCTAATACTAATGTACTTATATATAATACGTAAGTACTTACTGAATATTAATATGTTGTTCCTTGCAATTCTATGAACGAAGTAGGGAAAATTCCATATGGTGAAATTAAGTCAACCTGAATTATTGACTGAGCTGTGAACATTATATTGAAAGAGCTCGCTGACTTCATTGGATTCTCAACTACATAAAGACTTCAACATTGACTTGGAGCAATACAGTCAGTTAACTTTAACTATTAGTTTAAATTTTAGAGAAGTTAAATTCTTTTTCTGAAGTACGAGTGAAACATCTTCCTTTGCACTGTCCTCTTCTTTCTAACAAAAATATCGCAATATGATATTGTTGTTATAGCATCTGACACTGACATAAGATGCTTCCTGGTGAAATAATCACAGCATCGTCAATCAAAAGATAATTAGTATCTAATCCATCTTTTACTCTTTATTATTTGCATGGCAGTATGAAGAAAGAAAGGGGGAAAAAGACAGAAGCTGTGGGAAAATGCAGCAGGGGTAACTGAAGGATACTGTTATATGAGTTCCCTGTACAATTCCATGAATGAGGCAAGCTGACTGTACAATAACAGTCTTACTTGAAAAAAATCATTAGGAAAAGAATTAAACTTTGGGAGAACTTCAAAAGGCCATAGCTTCTTGTCATAATCTAGCAACCAAAAACAAATTTCAGACTGCCACCTTTTCAGCCACTTGGATCCACTTGTATTTCCTATTATGCATTGTGCAACAATATCTTGGATGACAATAATAATAATAACAATAATAATACTCAAGAACCTTTGGTAGGCACTCCAATCCAGTTGAGGTAGCGAGTTAATTTCTTGGACACATAGGTCTTGCCCCTTGCAGGAAGGCCAATCATTACAATCAGAGTAGGGGAGTTGGTCATATAAGAGGCCCATGCTGTAAAGAAAAGAAAGAAAAAGATCAGTCGCTTCTATCTGGGAAAAGGAAAAAGCTTGCAGGAGGCTAAAATAGCACGTGCCTCTCAGTATTCCTTGCACCCATACATCTGCTGCTATAGACAAGGACACTGTGTTTCTTTCTTTGACTCAATAAATGAACCATAGCATGACTGTCTCAGGTATTTATTAATGAGGCTGACTTGGCAAGCAAAAATAGCCAGTGACGAAATGCCTACAATGGTCTATCTCACTTTTAGCTAAAAATATTTCCCAGTTAAGCTAGGATCTTCTCAAGGTTAAGAGGAAAATGTTCAACTCAAGAGTTCCACGTAATATCAGATGAAACAAGTATATTTTCTGAACATGCTGAAAGAATATCTGAAAATTTAAACCAGCTCTTCATTTCATTTTTGTCTGAAAAGGCCCCAACATTCACTCTTGAACTCCAGAGGAAACTGTATACAAGCCAAGATTTAATATTGTTCAGTATTGACAGAGATTATATTATTTTATGCATGACAAAACAATATTTTGTGGGTGCTGAAAGAGATCTAGGCTTATGCCAAGTGCATCAACAATGACCAAGTAACAAAGGTTGAAGACATATTGTGGATCTTATAAATACTTTCCCAAGAAATCTGGCTTCACTATAGTCAATGCAAACATTCACAATGAATGTAACACAGAGGTCAGGGACCATTTTTTCCTGTTAAAGGCAGCATTCTTTTAGGGGGTGCCTTGTCAGGGAGCTATATCTTGGCAGTCAAATTGGCCAGACTCAAAATCAGCCCCTTTCTCTTCCCATGTCCTCTTTCTCACTCACTGCTCCCTTTATTCCATGGTCAATGAGTTGTTGGAAAAGGGACAAATCTCTATTTGAAACCTAAATTAGCCGTAGGGGAAGTGTAGCTTGTGGAATACAGTTTCATCAGCTCTTAAGTTTCTCAAAAACCTTGAACTATTTTTTTTTTCAAATTTCTGTGGGGTTACAAATTGCTCCCATTCGGTTAGTTCTCACTCCCAGGCACCTCCAGGAGGAGAATGTTAGTGAGTTATATTCCCTCCCACATGCAACCAATAGGAATCTGTTTTTAAAAAATCAAAAATATAAATGGAAAGTAGCCTCTGGTTTGTTTTTAGTTGATTATAACATGCTTCAGATAATCCCATTCAAGGTTGAGTAAATATTTTTCAACAACTGCATAACAGTAGCCTATCTCTGCTGTAAACCTTGAATAAAATTACACCTAGATTAAATCCTGAACTTGGCTTCTCAGATCATGGTGGTCAAAAATCCATTCGCAAAATAAAAACCACTACAACAGTTGTATCTATTCCTGGAAATGTTTGACCTTGCCACAGTCATTCATGCTTAGGTCTCCTTCACACTACACATTTATAGGAACCAGAAACTACTTCAATTGCCATGGCTCCATCCTATGCAATCCTGAGATTTGTAGCTTCAAAAAGTATTTAGAATTTTGTGTCAGAAACCTTTAATGCCTCACAACAAATCTGAAGGTTCCATAGTATGTAGTCATAGCAGTTGAAGTGCTATCAAAGTGCTATAATTTTTTGGTGTGAAAGAGAATTTAGTAACATCATATTTGGATTGTTGTACCCATGTTCTATGCGATCATGGTATAGTGGTTTATTTGTTAGACTAATACCAAGGTTTGAACCTCCTCTTGGTCAAAAACCCACTGATAAGCTTGGCTAAGACAAATTAACGCGTACCTCAGCGGAACCCAAGGGAAGCCTGCTTTGAACAAACCTTGCCAAGTAAATCTGTTACAGGTTCACCTTAAGGTTGCCAAATGTTGGAAATGACTAGAGGGTACACAACAACCACAAGCATGCTCTATAGGTTGTGATGGTTGAAGAGAGTTTCATCCAAAATACTGTCACCAGGTTGTTGATGGCAATTAGATACAAGGAACCAGCACCTTTGTTTTACAGCAGTGTCACCATCTATTCACTGGTCAATTTCTGGGAACAATCCAAACTGCTGGTCATGACTTCTAAAGTCCTATACCACTTGGTCAGTGCTATCTAAAAGGCTTTGAGATCTGCAGATCTTGGTCCCACTACCTTTCGGTAGGTATGTCTGGCGATAATGCTAGGGACAGCTTTGGGGGTGGCTGCTCCCATATTGTGGAAGACACTCCCAAGGGAGGCCAGATTAGCCTGTTTTATAATCAGACAGATCTCCCTTTCTATAATTAAGATGCATGTATTATTGTCAAGGAGTATCAAATTGTTTTAACTTCAGTTTTAATGGTTTGACTGCCTCATTGATACAGAATCACCAATGGCCACTGCAAGTCTGTCAGCTGTCATATGAAAGACACTTGAATCTCCTTCATTGGTGACATTTCTAAGGTCCATTTGGATCAATTACAAATGATCCTGCTAATTTTACAAATGAGGTAAATTCTCCTCCCAAATGACATTCAGCAGTGAGGAAAATCTTTCCCAAGATCAAAGAAAGACTGTAACATACATTATGAACCTTCACACAAACTGGACTGGAAGTTGCAAAAGAGGAAATTTGCGTAACTTGTGATGTTTTCAGTGTGGCTTCAGCAAAAGCATTTAAGTGTGCAAGTGTCAAAAATAAGCAGACTTGCAGATGAATTTGCCCTAGTTGTTAGACAAAACAATTTTAACAAGTTGCCATGCACATTTTAGCTTCATAGTGGCAGCCTTGCAAACAATAGACACTATTGGTCTCAAAAGTAACCAACTGAGAATGGGGCAGAAAGCTTTGATGACATTGGATAGCTTGTTCACTTTCAGCCTTCAAAATGCTGAGCAAAGATAACAAGCATACAAACAAAACATTCACTAAAAAGTAGAGCATCACTGAGGAGGAGAAAATAATCTTTTCTGGATTTCCCAGAGGTCTGATAGTATCCAAGTGCTATGCAAAATAAAACAGAATAACAACCATTAATGAAACCAGCACTCACAGGGTTAAATCTCAGGATTTTTTTTATTAGCAGGGATAACTATGTGATACATAAGTCCCATTGCCTTTAGAGAAGATAGGGAAAGACAGATTTTCCAGCCATAAATGTATTGTTGCAAACACATCCTGTTGTAATGCCAAATATATTGGTGTGACTTGCTCATGAATGAAGAAATGAAAGACATCAGCTTCACAAAACTCTGAAAAACAAGGTTTGAATCCCTGCTTGGTCATGAAACCATTGGGTGGTCTTGTGAAAGTCACACTGTCTCAGCCACAGAGGAAAGCAAGGGCAAATCCCTTCTGATCAAATCTTGTCAAGAAAAGCCTGTGGGTTGCCATAAGAAATACAATAACAACAGCTGCACCGAAGTCTTGTTCCTGGTAGAGATTATCATGGCTAGATCTGGTTTGTTCAACCAAGCTGCTTCTATGTTGGGTTTTTTCTTGGGTGTAGAACTATTACGACTTTTATAAGTGTCGTCATTTCAGAGTTTCCTATTACAACACTGAATCATTTCCCCAAGTTAAGTACTACAAAAACATCTCTTAGTTGCCTAATGAATAACTAGATTTGTGAGAATCAATATGAGGCTAGTAGTTTAACCTCACAGAGGTTTGGGGCAAGATGGACAGGAAGGAGATAGGCGAAACTGGTTTTCCAATCTGTCTTCTGCCTTTCGGAGTTGCACCTAGATCCCTTTGTGCTTTCCATTTCTGTGACTAATGCATGTGGGACAAGCAACTATAGCCAGCTTTAGTGATCAGGAAGCCATTACTATTTTGCTACTGAAATGTTAAGCCCCTCTGGCTGAATCTTCCATGAACTGTTAAATGTGTCTATGTGGTTTATAACCAGGCTTAATTCTCAAGGGAAGGGCTACAATTCCTACAAATAAACCAGGCTTGCATCATTGCAAGTCTTTGTCTTGCCCATGGTTTGTAGAATACCGAACTGATGTCACTGTACTGACCCTTCTTGACTTTGTATTCTTTCCTTCTTGGAAGATCTAGGACAAATAACAAGTATCAAGTACTGAGAAATATAGGTGAAAGGATGCTGGTACTGTGGCTGTTTCGTATTCTATCAGCAAGTCCTTGTATGACCCATTGTCTCCCATTATTTTAAAAAAATCTTGAAGCAAAGTATTGCATAAAACAACAAAGCCTTGGGTAGGACTCTTAAGGGTACACAGACCTTCGAAGTGGGGAAGGGTCAACAGAAACAGAAGTCTTCCACAATACTATCGGGCAGTAGTATTTTTTATACAGCATACTCTACAATCAGGCCTTGTAAGCATTCTTCTTAAGCTATCTGATGTGAGGAACTTACATCTATGCCCACTGGGTGCAAATGTTTCTTTCTTTCCTGGACACTCCTCAGGGACTGGAGGATGTTGATGGCTTGGGGACTACGACTGATCCAGAGACCACCACTTTGGGTACCATTGCTTTAAAGTACTTATTGTCAAAGTTTATTTAGTAAGGTAAAGGTTTTCCCCTGACATTAAGCCCAGCCGCCATTAAGCCCAGCCGTGCTCATCTCCATTTCTAAGCAGAAGAGCCGGCATTGTCCATAGACACTTCCAAGCTCATGTGGCCAGCATGACTGCATGGGCCACTGTTACCTTCCTGCCTGAGTGGTACCTATTGATCTATTCACATTTGCATGCTTTTCTCAGTCCTAGGGGAACTCAAAACGATTCACAACATATTAAATGGCAAAGATTCAATGTCGCACATCACTCAGTATAGACCAGGCATGGGGCAACTTTGGCCCTCTAGGTGGCAGGGGAATTCCAGACAAGAATCTATCAGGGTCAGCTAAAACCTCCCAACAATGGATTCCCATGGGCAGGAAACAGCCAGGCTTTGAAGCTGCAAGGCCATTGAATACTAATCAAAGTGGCCAATTGCAACATTCACACTTGCCTCAAGCAGACCAGAGTTTTTTCTCCCACCATAGATATATAAACCATACCATAGATATATAAACATGGTATATATAAAACATACCATAGATATATAAACCCCACTTGCCTAGTTTCCAACAGACCTCTCAGTCTCTGAGGATGCCTGCCATAGATGTGGGCAAAATGTCAGGAAAGAATGCTTCTGGAACATGGCCATACAGGCCAGAAAACTCACAGCAACCCAGTGAGCAATCCTTTCCTTCTTCCAAAAAGCTCTCAACACAGTATATATACAGTTTGTTTCCCATTCCCGCAATCTACTTCCAGTTCTGTAATTAGAACCGCTCTGTGACATGGAGAAACTAGAAATGAGCAGGCTGGCTGAAATCAGAGCTTCATCACTTAATCCACTTAAAATCTGTTTTTTTGCCTCCTGCAGAGTTCTGAGGTTTGTAGTTTAGTGAGGCTGTCCTCCCTAAACTACAAACCCCAGAATTCTGCAGGAGGCAGAAACCGGATTTTAAGTGGGTTTTTTCCTCTAGTGTCACCCAGAGAGATTCCCAGCTGAGCGGATATCTGAACCTAAGCTTTCTGTGTTCTACTCCAGCTAGTTAAGATTTTGCATGAGACTTTGGTAAGTTAAAGCGCATGAGATTTTTAGAATGCCATTTCCAACAGGCTCATTCATTGCCCAAAGACTTAAAGTCAGGCATAGGCCAACTTGGGCCCTCTAGGTGTTTTGGACTTCAACTCCGACAATTCCTAACAGCCTACCGGCTGTTAGGAATTGTGGGAGTTGAAGTCCAAAACACCTGGAGGGCCCATGTTGGACCCTGCCTGATTTAAAGGCATTGGATGGATGCAGCACATAGTCTCCTAGCATCAATGGCTTTGCCCCAGAGAGGAACCCATCCTTGCCTATAAATAAAAAAATGATATTTCTGTGTTAAAATCCCCATCCATTCCAACAGCTCCAAAAGATCCCAAAAAAATACTCACAGCCTTTCTTCTCGGAGACCCGTAGGTGGGCAGGCTTGCCTCCCTGGCTCCAACTATTGCCATTGAGCTCCTGGGTCATTGGGGTCGCCTCCCCAGACATGGATGCCAAGAGGGTCGCTGGCGGTGGGGCAGCAGGGCTCCTTCTGGGGGAAACGCAGCGTTATGAAAGGCTCCGCTTCCTTCCCAGCGAGAAGAGGAGAAAGCACATGCACCGCAGCCGCCTCCTGCCTCTGACGCGCTTCCACTGACGACTCAGTCTCGGGTGGGCGGCAGCCGAGGAGGAAGGGATGCGGAAGCCACGGGGGGAATCAAGGTCAAGGCGACAGGGAAGCGCAAGGCATGGATGGATGCCTCCCTCCTTAAAAGGAAGCCCAAAGGAAGGTCTCTCTTTGCCCATCCAAAGGGATCTCTGCTCCAGGTTGTGTTTCAAAGTCACCTCTGAGCATTCCCCGCCTCTGGGTGCATCCACACCACGGAAGGAACGCTTCCCTGCAGTGGGGACTTCTGGGAGTTACAGTTTTGCAAGGGCTTCAGCCTCCTCCACCAAACTACAGCTCTCAGAATTCCATACCAATGAGATCTTCGTTGGCTTTTGTGTCGTCCCTCGAAGTCGCTTCCGACTCATCCATAGCAAGGTTTGTTCATAGGGAGCTTCCTCAGAGCGTGGATGAGCTCCCTTTGTCAGCTCCAGCTTCCTATGCAGGGACATGAGAGAAGTCTCCCACAAGGATGGTAAAACAATAATAACAATAATAGGTAAAGGTTGGTAAAGGTTGTCCCCTGACATTAAGTCCAGTCATGTCTGACTCTGGGGTGTGGTGCTCATCTCCATTTTTTAAGCCGAAGAGCCGGCGTTGTCCATAGACACCTCCAAGGTGGAGCCCCTGGTGGCGCAGTGGGTTAAACCCCTGTGCCGACAGGACTGAAGACCAACAGGTCACAGGTTCAAATCTGGGGGGAGGCGGTTGAGCTCCCTCTATCAGTTCCAGCTCCTCATGTGGGGACATGAGAGAAGCCTCCCACAAGGATGATAAAAACATCAAAACATCCAGGTGTTCCCTGGGCAACCTCCTTGCAGACGGCCAATTCTCTCACACCAGAAGCGACTTGCAGTTTCTCAAGTCACTCCTGACACGACAAAACAAAACAAAACAAAAAAACCTCCAAGGTCATGTAGCCAGCATGACTGCATGGAATGCCGTTACCTTCCCGCCAGAGTGCTACCTATTGATCTACTCACATTTGCATGTTTTCGAACTCCTAGGTTGGCAGAAGCTAGGGCTGACAGCGGAAGCTCACACCGCTCCCCAGAATCGAACCTGCAACCTTTCGGTTAACAAGCTCAGCAGCTCAGTGCTTTGACCCACTGCGCCACCAAGGGCTCCAATAATAATACTAAACTTAATAATAATAATAATAATAATAATAAATTGTGTCGATGTCGCAATCCCAGATGACAGCAGGATTGAAGAGAAACAACTGGAAAAGCTTACACGATATGAGGATTTAAAGATCAAACTGCAAAGACTCTGGCACAAGCCAGACAAGGTGGTCCTAGTGGTGATCGGCACACTGGGTGCAGTGCCTAAAGACCTTGGCCTGCACTTAAAAACAATTGACACTGACAAAATTACCATCTGCCAGCAGCAGAAGGCCACCTTACTGGGATCTCCACGAATTATTTGCCGATACATCACACAGTCCTAGACGCTTGGGAAGTGTCCGAGGTGTGATCCAATACAACAGCCAGCAGAGTGATCTTGTCTGCTGTGGACTCATCTTGTTGTGTTTCAAATAATAATAATAAACTACTTCATTTATACCCCACCACCATCTCTCCAAAGGGGACTCGGGTGGCTAACGTGAGGCCAAGCCCAAAATTACAATAGAACAAAGTAAAATGCAAACAAGCAAAACATCAAAACATCTGGGCATCCCCTGGGCAACGTCCTTGCAGACGGCCAATTCTCTCACACCAGAAGCCATTTGCAGTTTCTCAAGTTGCTCCTGACAAGAAAAAAAGAAAAGAGGGAGCTGGCCTTCCTCTGGGGCTGAGAGAGTGTGACTCACCAAAGGCCACTCAATTGCCTTCCCACTGATTCCAGCCGTGCTTCTCAAGACCCTTAAGATGAATCTACACCAGTGTTTCTCCACCTGGAAGTTGGGGGGTCGCGAGGGGGGTTTCAGACAAGTCGCCAAAGATCATCAGAAAATGCACATTTCTGATGGTCTTGGGAACCCCTTTGGCAGAGAAGGCTGAAGATCTCTCCACTTGTCGTTCTCTTCCTTTTTGGAACCAGAGGGCGAATCCTCCCTCCTGCTCTCTGGATGTAGGTGAGCCCACCAAACCCTTCCAGTATTTTCTGTGTGGGAAGTCTGGCCCAGTTCTATCATTGGTGTCATTGGTGGAGTTCAGAATGCTCTTTGATTGTAGGTGAACTATAAATCCCAGCAACTACAACTCCCAAATGTCAAGGTCTATTTTCTCCAAAGTACACCAGTGTTCACATTTGGGCATATTGAGTATTCATGGCAAGTTTGGTCCAGATTAGAGGTTCTCAGCCTGTGGGTCCTCAGATGTTTTGGCCTTCAACTCCCAGAAAACCTAACAGCTGGTAAACTGGCATTAGGAAGGTTGAGAAACACTGACCTACAGTGTTTAATTAATGCAGTTTGACATGTTATCTGCCATGGCTCAATACTATCGAGCAGGCATGGGCCAACTTGGGCCCTCCTTTCAGATGTTTTGGACTTCAACAACCACTATTCCTAGCAGCCTCAGGCCCCTTCCCTCCCTCCGTTCCTCCCTCCCTCAGCCGCCTATGAATGTTAGAATGCTGAGGCTGGCCAATCAGAAACCATATGCAAATTAGTAGATCGAGATAGCTCATGCATGGGCCCTCCTTTCAGGTGTTTTGTACTTCAACTCCCATAATTCCTAGCAGCCTCAGGCCCCTTCCTTTTCCCCCTCAGCCCCTTTAGCCAAGTTTGCCCATGCCTGCTATGGAGTCATGGAAATTGTATTTTTATGCCCACTTTAGGCACCAAGGTAACAGTTATGCCATTCTAGTCCATCGAGTGGGGCAGAGAAGGCTAAAGGCCTTGTAAAACTACAACTCCCTAGACTCCATAGCATTGAGACATGGCAGTTCGAAGTCCTGTCAAAAACCACAAATTCTGCAATGTAGATGCACCCCTTGCCTCCACGCAAAGGCGAGGCTATGTTGTTATTGCATTAATTACAATAGGAAAGAAGGGCGGATCAATGCCACCAAGACAACAGTCATTGTAGTCCTAAGAATAGGCAACGCGCATGCGCACAGCGGCAGTTTTTATAGTTCGGCGTTTTGTTATAAAACAAGCAGGAGCGGGACGTCACAACATTCTGCGCAGGCGCACCACAGCGCGTCATTCATTTCTTTTCCCCCTCCCCTCCCCTCCCCGCAGCGGATGTTTTCCCTGTGCTCCAGCACGGGGCGGTGGGAGCGTGGATGTGATTGGCTGTTCGGATAGAACGGGCGCGGCTCCGGCGGGGGATCGACCAATCGCGAGCCCCGCCGGGAAAGGAAGCGAGGGTTGCCGGGTTGCAGGCCCCGCCCGGCGGCCATTTTTTAGCGAGAGGGAGGGGGCGGGGATGATTGAAGACCGGCCGCCGCCTTCGGGGCGCCCCATGTCCGTCGGCCGGCGAGATGCTGCGGCTGCGCTGTAAGGCCCGGAGTGGCTCCTTCGCGCTGCCGGGGCTCACGGCCCACTCCCGCCTCCGCGAGCTGCAGGCGGTGATCGCGGCCCTCACCGGGGTGCCCGCCCAGGCCCAGCGCCTGCTCCTCGGCTTCCCTCCCCGCGGCCTCGACCTCAGCGACGGAGAGCAGCGCCTCGGAGAGCTGGGCATTCACTCCGGTAAGGGGAAACGGGGGCCCCCTTCTCGTTCATTCTCCACACAGCTCAATCATGGCGCCTGCTTAACTACGGGCTCCTTTTCACTGCTGTAGCTCATGGGAGTTGTCGTTTTGCAAGGTGCTTTGGTCTTCTTTGCTGCTGCCTCACAAAACTACAACTCCCATGATCCCATAGCATCGAACCATGGCGTTAAGGCAGGCATGGGCCAACTTGGGCCCTCCAGGTGTTTTGGACTTCAACTCCCACAATTCCTAGCAGCCTCAGGCAGCTAGGAATTGTGGGAGTTGAAGTCCAAAACATCTGGAGGGCCCAAGTTGGCCCATGCCTGCTCTATAGTATTGTGCCATGGCGGATAACGTGTCAAACTGCATTAATTAAACAGTGTGATTGTGTCTATTGGTATTTTATTTTATTTTATTTTATTATCATTTATTATTTTAATGTCATTTTGATAATGTTGTCTGATGTATATGCTTTGATTTTGTTGCTGTATTATGTTGTTCGGGCTTGGCCCCATGTAAGCCCCATTGGGGAGATGGTAGCGGGGTAGAAATAAAGTTTTATTATTTTATTATTAAAGAGTCTGGAGAAGCAGGATTGGAATCTGTGAGAAGGCACAGATTAGTATTAGGCTGTTAGGAATTGTGGGAGTTGAAGTCCAAAGCACTTGGAGGGCCGAAGTTTGCCAATGCCAGCATTAATGTGTCAAACTACCTCCGTTTTTCTCAGTGTCAATTGGAAAGTGGAATGCAGTTTGACACCACTGTGGGATCATGGGAGTTGTAGTTTGATGAAGAACCAGTGCTCTTTGGCAGAGAAGGTTGAAGTCCCTAACAATAAACTTTATTTATATCCCGCCACCATCTCCCCGGTGGGGACTCAGAGCGGCTTACATGGGGCCAAACCCAGACAACATATTACAGCAATAAAATCAAAACATATACAACAACAACGACATCAGAATACATTAATAATAAGAAGAAAAAAACAGTCATAAAATAACATTCTAATAAACACTATCACAATAACGATAATAGTGGGTGGGCCACATGTACAGGATAAAACAATTTAAAAAACTGATGAGATAAAATAGGAGTAAAACATTTATGGGGAGCTCATAAAACACATATTTATGAGGTTGGACTTCCCATTTGGGGAGCACGAGCTCCAGTAGCAGAAAAACGTTGAGGGGTGCAAAATGTCATGGTGTGCACCTACTCACCAAAGGCGCAGCGGAAGAGCCAGGTTTTAAGGTTCTTTTTAAATGTTTCTAGTCAAGGGGCTTTCCTGATCTCTCCAAGTAAAGAGTTCCAAAGTCGGGGAGCCACCGAGGAGAAGGCTCTCTCCCTTGTACCTACAAGACGGGCTTATGAGATTGGTAAAGGTGACCCTATAAAACTATAACTTCCTTTATTCCATAGCAGTGCGCCAATTAAAGTGGTGTCAAACGGCTTTCATTCTACAGTGTAGAACAGGCATGGGCAAACTTTGGCCTGCTGGGTATTTTGGACTTCTACTTCCACAATTCCAAACAGCTTTCCTAACAGCCTACCAACTCTTTTCAATTGTGGGAATTGACGTCCAAAACACCTGGAGGGCCAAAATTTGCCCATGCCTGGTGTAGAATGATGCGCAGCTTAAGGCCCAGTCTCTAGTAGAGAATTCTAAGGTCCCTTCCAGACAGGCTCTATATTCCAGGATCCAATCCCAGGTTTTCTGCTTTAAACTGGATTATATGAGTCCTTGCTGCCAGATAATCTGGGATAATCAGTAAACCTGGGATTGTATCCTGGGATGAAGGGCCCTAAGAGCATGGATGTGGCCCTTGGCTGGAGCTACCACAGCTATATTGACATAAAATTGCTATGGAGAAGACCCTTTGTTGAATATAATTGAAATACAGTTGGCCCTCCATATCAATGGAATTCAAATATTCATGGCTTGAATATCTCGAGAAATATAAGCGTCAACAAGCAGACCTTGATTTTCCTGTTTTATATAAGGGATGTCATTTTCCTACACCATTATATATAATTGCACTTGCATCCAAGGATGTTGGCATCCGCTGGATTTTGTGAACCACTCCATTGTAAATTGTTATACAGTCACTGATTCTTCTGGACAAGAGTAGATCCATTCAATATATAAGACATACACAAGCCTTGACTTTTTGTTTCAGTGGATTTACGTTGGTTGTCACTAATAGCTACATTTAGCCCCTTTTTGCATGGGTGGTGTCTAGTATTTTGAAGTTGACAATTATCACAGTGTTTTGCTTTTCATTATGAGTACAAAAACTAGAGTAGAGGTTAGTTGGATGCTAGACTTACTGGTTTGTTTGGTTTGCTGTAGGGCCGCTATAAGTCAGAAATAACTTGAAGTCACACAATAACAACAATCATCAAGTACATTAATTAGAGCCAATATACACAGAATTATTGAATAGAGTGTTTTAAACATTTTAACCTCAGAATGTTTTTCTTTATTCTTATCTCAGATGCTTTGATTGTAGAACTAAGACACTCTGAGACCAAGGATTGAATCTCTGCTCAGCCATAGAAACCAATCTTGGGGAGGTTACACTTGAAGGTTTCACATGAAGATAAGAGCAAAGCCCCTTTGAATAAATTCTGCCAAGAAAGCACAATAATAGATTTGCCTTATGTTCACCATTAGTCATAAATGACTTGAAGGCACCCTAACAACAAATTTCAAGTGGGGTTAAGTCTTTTTATAGGTACTCCTGTTTGCAATAGGCCTTTTCCCCATTTCAGAATCAAACTGGGTAGTAGAAATTCAATGTATTACTTTTGCTTAAGGGTCCCAGAACGCTTGGGATCTTTTTATAAATTAGCCAATTATCTAGTAGCATACACTGGCCTGTCTTTTATCAGCCCCTGTTCTAAAGCTTGAATAAGAAGATCAACTTTTAAATAGAAAAGAGTGGGTGTCCCTTTTGAGAACAGGAAGTCTTCAAACAGTGACACATGTGTTTTGACATATTATAATTGCATAAAATGAGCAGAACGTTTGTTGCCACCCATTAATTAAACTTTAGAGTCTTGTTATATGTTTGTGTCAAATTCTGTCAGCTTATCCTTGTACACAGGATGAGTAATGTAATTTCTGGTCCTCCTTTGTGTTGTTAGTGCATTGGCAAATTTAACCTAGAAATAAATAAATACATACCTAATGCCATCACATCAGTGTTAGGACTGTTGCATCACTGGGGTGGACTGGAATTCCGTAGATACATTAGAAGATAGATGGCTTCTAAAATGAATTAACATGTTTCAGTCCTAATATTTATGGTATTGGGTTCATTAGAAAACATGGCGGAAGTGCTCCCCATTTTAACCTAATTTTTTTCTAGGAACTTGTGAAATATCACCTCTTCTGTTACTATCCATCATTAACTCTAAATGGTTTATTTATTCTCATGAGTGTTCTATTGTCTTTTAGATTATCATACTACACTAGTAAAGAGTTGGTATCCCACTTTACATTATATGGCTGCTTCTTATTGAATCCTGGAATTTGCTGTTTAGGGAGCAGCTTTTGAAATTCTCAGAAAGAAAGGTCCTGGGCCTTATACTAAACTACAAACTCCATTATTCTGCAAGAGGGAACCACGAGATTTAAAGTAGAATGCCAACCCTTTAAAGTGTAGTGTGATTACAGAAACTGTCAGAATCTCAAAAAGAGTTTGAGTAGAGCCCTGTTACACTTCTGTGGGCAGGGTTTTCTGAGAGATTAACCCATAGCTGAACTGAGACTTGCCAGCGACTTTTGCCTTGTGTTCTTACTCTCTGAAGTCGACCATCTATTTATTTCCTTGTTCTGTTTTTCTTGACAGGTGACACTCTTATAGTTGAAGAAGATGCAACCAAGCCCAAAACTGAGCCAGCTATAGTTACAAAACGAACTGCTTCTAATTCATTCAGGGAAGCTCTCCCAGTGCTTGCCCGGAAGGTTGTTCCAGCAGATAACTCATGTCTCTTTACCAGCATATATTATGTGGTAGAAGGTGGGGTTTATGATCCAGGATGTGCTCCAGAGATGAGAAATCTCATAGCTCAGATTGTAGCAAGTGATCCGGAATCCTATAGTGAAGCTGTTCTAGGGAAAACTAATCAGGAATACTGTGAATGGATAAGAAGAGAAGATACGTGGGGAGGTGCAATTGAGGTTTCCATCTTATCTAAATTCTATCAATGTGAAATTTGTGTAGTGGATACTCAAACAGTCAGAATCGATCGTTTTGGGGAAGATGCTGGCTATGCTAAACGGGTGCTTTTAATTTATGATGGTATTCACTATGATCCTCTTGAGCGTAAAATTCCCAATTCAGATGTTCCTCCCCAAACAATCTTTTCAGCATCTGATGACATCGTGCTTGCACAGGCTATGGAGTTAGCAGATGAAGCCAGAAGAAAGAGACAGTTTACTGATGTAAATCGATTTACACTGAGATGCATGGTATGTCAGCAAGGATTAACAGGGCAAGTGGAAGCCAGAGAACATGCCAAGGAAACGGGACACACCAACTTTGGAGAAGTGTGAATTTTCTGTGAGATTGGTCATCCCTGCTACCTCACTGATCCAGAGAAAACCTCTAAAATCCTAAATAAGCTGTATGTAATCATATGAAATCCATTCAGGGTTTGAAGCCCCCAACTTAAGTATGAATGATATGCACAGGTTTGCTGTGGTTAGTCTCAAAAGTTTACAAGCATGTGTGCAGTGATGCTATATTTTCCAACTAGTTTGGAATGTAATTTTTGCATGTCTTAAGTACTAGGACAGCTATTGATACAAATGGCTGTCCTGACAGCTGCAAGAATCCAAGAACGTAATTCAGGAATTCCTCTGAAACACTGCTGTAGCTAGATTAAATTGTACTTCAGATTTTGGGTGGAATAAAAACTGAAGCTCATTTACTGAGTTAAGGTGGCCTCCATTCGAATTTGGCACGGTTACTTATCTCAGTCTTGTTTATTAAAAAGACATGTACACTTGTAAAATTAAACGCAGATCAGACACACGGTTGCCTCTTAAATATTGTAATCCCAAAGCACATCACTGGGTAACAGTACCATAAGTGTAAAGGAAAAGGTGTCATAAAAGCCTTTATCTTAGAAGCTTTTGTCCACAGCTTTCTTAGGGCACTTCCACACCGCCATATAACCCAGAATATTAAGGCAGATAATCTGCAATATCTGCTTTGAACTGAGTTATCGGAATCCACGCTGCCATATAACCCAGTTCAAAGCACATAATGTGGGATTTTATAAGCTGTGTGGAAGGGGCCTAAGGCCCCTTCCACACTGACCTTTATCCCAGGATCTGATCCCAGATTATCTGCTTTAAACCATATTATATGAGTCTCCACTGCCAGATAATCTGGGATAAACTGATAATCTGGAATCAGATCCTGGGAATTAGGGGCAAGTATGGAAGGGGTCTTAGAAAGAGAGTTGTTTCCAATTAGATCACACATTTTCTTAATATTGGTCTATATTAATAGCTCTTTAAACACCTGTTGGTTGTTTAGATGCTTATGTATATTTATGAAATGCCTTTCAACATTACTGAAATTATAACAGCTTCCAGTAATGTGAATGGAATTTGTTTTAAGCTGCTCACTTGTATATTGAGGGTGTAGAATTTGCAGGCTTGTATTATGGCTCTCAAATTGCCATTTTCTCTTAATGTGAAACTGATCAGGAACAGTTTGATCCCAAGAAAGCATTGAGCATTTAAGAATAGCAGTGTCCCTCATTACTGCTGGTTTTCTCCCATGGAAATGGGTATCCTTCAGACAAGATGGTCCTCAGAACTATACTGTTTTATGGTCAGGAATGAAGAGCCCGGTTTTGTTATTCTTTGATACCAGTTGAAATAGGTGCTCCTTGTTAAGAGTTGAAGTTCTTGATTTATATCCAGTATCACATTTATCTACTTGCTAATGGGTTGCCATTAGAAACTTGGCCACTGGAGATCTTCCGTTTTGCTTAACTCCCACAAGTTAGACTGTGTAGTTTTCAGCTGCTGAAAATAGTAACTAAGTAACATCTCACTGGTTTATATAAGCTATTTTTCTACATAGACTGTTTGGAATTGGGGTTTCAGCTGTTCTGGTATTTGCATTTTACCAGATGTCAAATTATGGCAGCTGTAACCAGTTGAATCCTCTCACTTAAAGAGTTTTGTTTATATTCAGATTTCTTTTTATATAGACAAGTTGTACTAAATCTGTGGGCCTCCTTGAGGCTAATTTAAATTAAATTAACTTAGAGGCTATTTAAATTAAAATAACTTAGAACTAATTTTTAAAATGCAGGTGATACAGAATTTGAGATGAAAAGTTGTTGCTAGGTGCTTAAAAATGACTTTTATGAGTGTTAATGAATTAGAAATAAAGCCACATATTATTATAAAGAAATCAGACCGTGACGTTGATGTAGGTGTTATAGGTGGCTGCTATTAATGTCCTAAAGTATTAGGGAAAGGATTCAGTTGGCTTTTCTGTAATCACAGTTCAGTTGGTATACTAGCTGGGGATAAAAATCTCATTTTCCTTTCTACACATGAAATGTGAAAATAAAAGTTAGGATGATATAAAATCATTAGTGTAAATAACAAGAATTTGCAAGCTAAGTCGGTTTGTTGAGCCAGCATGGATTTATATTATGCAAGGAGTTTTTCGTGGTTAATAACATTATGTCAGCTACATTTTAGGATATTACTTGTTCCTTGGGTAATACTTTTTTTTGCACTGCTTGGTTCTATTTCTGGTTAGTTTTCTATGGGATGTGGTGAAATGAACTACAGTACGACTCCCTTCGCCATGGATTTAATACCCACAGTTTCACCTATCCAAAATCCCTGGAAGTGTTTGTGAGCCTCTTTAGGTCCTCCAGGTATCCTGTCGGCCCAAGTATTGTCAAAATACAGTGTTAATTATCCAGGGGATCTTGGAATGTATCCTCTGCAAATATGGGGAGGGTATTGTATTTTTAAACATATGAAGCTCTTTTTTCTGTCATAGACAACAATAAGTATCCTTAACCTTTCAGACACCCAGTTCAAATGGATTAGCCATTGTCAGTTATGGTTAATTGAATTCCTGTTTCTAAAAGTGGGAAGTAGTTAATTGGCTCATATTGATTTCAGTATGGTGTGAGGTCCAGTGCATGTCTGCTAAGATGTACTCTATATACTTATGTAAACATTTAGGGCAGGTGTTGGGGGTATAATTATTTTGATGTGACCTATTGATTCGTTGAGGGTAATTCCTGGAAAGGGGAAAGTGCCAATGCCACCTAGGAGGCTGTTGCCTTACTACAACTACCACTGTTTCCCCATCTAGACATTCAGAAAGGCTAGAAGTGGCACCACAATGGAGAGCACTGAGAGAGTTGATGGTTCTTTTAGGTTCTCTTGGACAAGGCTAAACTCTTGCCTTTTACCCTCTACTCAAAGAAGGGGATGGTTCCTTAAAAAGAAAAAAGAATTGAGGTACAGTAATCACATGGATAAGATGACCATAGTTTTTTTTTTGGGGCTGATTTTTTCGTCCAAAAACTTCTAGACTTATACATGAGTATATAGGGTAAGGTCCACTTTTTCTATTAGGATTTAGTCACAGGAAACTTTAAAATTCCAACCTGTGTTACAGTGCTTAACTGAACATGGACTCCTAAGTGCTTATACAGTTTTGACTATTCTTGTGATATTTTTCCAGAAGCCTTAATTCAGGGTGGAAATTGTGTAGCCCTCCAGATGCTGCTGAACTGCACCTCACAGCATTCCCAACCATTGGCTCTGTTTGCTAGGGCTTCTGATTGTTGCAGTTCAATACAGCCTGGAGGGCTGCAAAGTTCCTACTTCTTGCCTTAACTGGACAAACTAAGTGGGGCCATGCTTCTAGAAGATTGCCTAGTTCATGGTCACTTTGGTCAAAGGGAACAATGGGTGAGAAGAATGATATGCCAGGACTTTGCTTGATTTTGGCTTAAGCAATAAATGCAAAATCTATTTCCCTCCCCCAAAGAATATAAGTAATAATACTGATATTCCCTTTAAAATTGGACTCAATAAGACAGGGATCCTATGCACTTTTACAGAGGAGTCAATCCCATTGAATGCAGTGGGATTTCTTCTGAGTGGACATGCATAAGATAGCTTGTTAAAGGTTCTTAATTGTAAAATACTTCATGTGCATTAAGCTTCTCCCAGTAGGTTTTGTTGCAAGTCTGTATATATTTTTCTAAGGAAAAATAGATTTTGAAATCATGCAAAACACTTGAGTTGGTTAACTGGAGTAGTTATTTAAATCATTGTTCAATATCCATGCATTTAAATCACTTGGATCTCCAAATAAATGTGTTGGAGATAAAAAAAAATGTTGATTCTAGGTATAAAAAGCACTTAAGAAAAAAATGACTGAAATGGAAGATTTTTTTTAAAAAATCTTGAATTTATTTTGATCATGCTACTCTTATTCCATATTTGGCTCAGACTATGGGCACACTATCATGATGTGCTAGCATGTAGGGATCAGAACATTGGACTCTAAATACAAGGGTTCGCTTCCCCATTTGGGCATAGAAATCTGCTGCTTGACCTTTGGCAAGTCACACTCTCTGAGCCTCCGAGGAAGGCAATAGCAAACCTCTAAACAAATCCTGTCAAGAAAACGGATAAGAGTCAACATAAGTTTAAAAAGAGTGAAAGCACGCTACCACAACAAATCATTATAGTCTTTCTTTGCCTGTTTGCAAAAAATAATCAAGCCCACCTATCTCACAAATGTACCTTATGCTGCTTGGACAGAGTTGCCATTGGAAGTCAATTTATTTTGTAAGCTTTCTATTTCTGTTTTAAACGAAATTGTACATGCATTTTGCATTTTTGCTACAATACTTTTATGTTACACTTGAAATGTACTGGGTAAAAGATTATGTTCTAAATAGCTTGCATCTGTCTTATATAGTGGAACAGTGTTGTTTGCTTTCACTTAACTTTAACAGCAGTATTATGTACACACATTATCTTTTTAATACCAGTTCAGATAAAATGTATTCACATGTAACATTGAATTGCTGAAATTGTACTTGGAGTGTTGTTACATTCATACGAAAGTGACCATCAATTGAATCTCAATGTATACAAGGCGCATAATGTGTGGAATCCTAAGAACATCTTTGTTGAGGCAGGACATTCATAAACTCGTAACCTGTGCAATAAGATAGTGATCATCTCCTGTTTATCTCTACATCTGGCTATCAAATGAAGCTTACATTTAGTTTTGTTGTTGAATAGCCTTCAATAAACCTATTCTCTAAGCTAACAGTCTAACAGTCTATACCATAATTTGTGGGAGAGAATTCTAATGGTTACATGATGTCTAAAATCATGTTCAGGGTTACATGCACATATGTTTTATTTTGAATAAGATCTGAGGCACTATTCTCTGGTATCCTGTGTAATCACACCTGCAGATGTCATACCAGGTTCTTCAGGTGTTTGGACTTCAACTCCTGGAAATCCCAGCCATATTATTAGCTGTTAGGAATTGTGGGAATTAAAGTCCAAAACACCTGGAGGTGTGAAGTTTGCCCATGCCTGTGTTACACTCTGTGGAGGGGCATTACTGCTGCTGTTTACAAACAGAGCTGGGAGGGAGGAGGCAATTTAGATGACAAGCAGCTGCTCCAGACTGCAAGGGGAAGAGAAACAGCATATTCTTTTTGGGATAACATGGTTTATTCTCTTTGCAGCTGATACCGGCTTCTTCATTATTAAAGGCACATCTATATTGACTATTTAATGCTGTTTGAAGGCAGCTTCAATCCATGGTGTTTATATGTTTCAGGCACATTATGGGTTTTAATCTGGGATGAGGAAAGATGAGAGATACTTAATGCACATCAGTGCACTTTAGTGTAAACTGCATCACAAATGAAAATGATTCAGGGATGGGTTCTCTGGTGATCCAAACATGCACATTACAGTGTTGGGTTGGTGGGTGGGTGGGTGGCAAATCTCCCACAGCAGTGAAACCATGGATACTTTGGATCCTGGAACTTGTTTGAGGCTAGCCTCTGCAGTCCATACAAGCACCGTCCAGGCCTCAAACCAGTTCCAGGGCTCCTTTTATAATATGTATACTGAAACCACTTCCTGCTTTGCTTGTTTTGCAGTGATCTCAGTGACCACCATATGTGTTCTAGGTCCCCATTCCCTTAGTCTTTCTAACCAAGCCAGAAATGTATATAGGGTTAAGCCCATATCATTTGACAGATATTGTGGTGGTGGGGAGGCACAGAAGTATAATCCAAGATAGCAACTATTGTGTGAGCTGCTCTATTAAACCAAATTACAAATACACTTGATTGGTAGTAGTATAATAGGAGGATAATGAAATCTCATTTGCATTTCTCACACTTATTTATTTATTTATTTATTTATTTATTTATTTATTTATACGGTGCTCTATCTCCCCAAAGGATACTCAGAGTGGCTTGACATAAAAGCATATTTATTTATTTTATTTAAAATAGCTTTGTGTTTCTTTGGTAAAACTGCATTATTAAAAGCTTGTGGCTGCATACTTCATGCAAATGTACAAATGAGAATGTTTATTATATGTCTTATATGTAGCCAAAGGATTATTCATATTGAATAATGTTCTCTTAGTGAGAAGATGCATTTTAGAAAATGTTAGGTATCTTTTAAAAATACTTAAATTTTAATTTGGCATACATTTAACCTTGCTCAAATCTTCTAGTTGCATTTGCAACTCCATACTAGTAAGTTATGTTCTGTTGAACATGTCCCCTTAAGTTTAAAGCAGTTATACCAGCAATAAAACATACTTGCGCATTGATATTCAGCATCATGTTCACTTGTAATTTTGCTCTCTATATAAATAAAAATGTGAGGTTCATTTGTGGGATTAACATAACTCAAAAACCACTGGACAAATTGACACCATATTTGGACACAATACACCTATCAGGCCAAAAAGTGACCATCACTCATAAAAACACGGAAAAACACAGCGGAAGAGACTTAAAAAGCCAAAAAAATAAAAATACAATACAATACATGTGCAAAACCACATATATACACATATAAACAAATAAATACACACATATACACACGCAAAACATACGCAGACTGGGTCACAGCAACGCGTGGCAGGGGATGGCTAGTTTTTAATAAATTGATATTTGATTGGAGAGGCTTGCATAATAGCTACTTAGAATGATTCCACTGTATGGACAAGAAACAAAGGAGAGGTGAAGAGTCTCTTATCAGTTTCCCCTTTTTTGTTTATCACCCAAATGGATTCAGAAAGGATGTTCTGCTCAATGTTTTTACTTAGTTGATCTAGCTGAACGTGCACCTTGAAAATACCTAGAAATAAGATGATATATTCAAGGTCTTTCTTGAACTAGAAATCTGTAAAACTACAGTATGTCAATGAATCAAGGCAGGCAATTTGTTGGTTTATCCTAATGGCAGTGAACCCATTCAATAAATGGTTGAATGTTGAATCAACATATAGATAAATCTAATTATTTCAATAAGTCTACTCAAAGCTAACAGGATGGGCTAACTTTTGTTACTTTTCAAAGCAAGCTGATAAATGTTTTGAAGCAATTTGTTAATAGCTGTATTAATTGTTGAGCCCATCTGGGGGCCCTTACACATAGCCCTATGTCCTAGATATCAAGGCAGAAAATCCCACAATATCTGCTTTGAATCAGGTTATGTAAGTCCACACTCAGATAATGTGGGATTTTCTACACGGATATTCTGGGATATAGGGCTATATGGAAGGGCCCTAGGTAAGGAACCTAAATGCGCTTAATGCACAGATACTGTATCCACAGCTATCCACTGCTTAAAAATACCCCCCCCCCCCAATTCAAAAGCAAACCTTGATCATTACTTAAAAAAATAAGGGACACGATTTTAATATACCATTGTATATAATAGGATTTTACCATCCAGGGATTTTAGTATCTATGGAGGGATAGAGGTCCTGGAACCAAACCTTAGCAGATACTAAAGTCACCCCGTATTCAGGTTTTGAAAATAGCATTTATTATTCCCAGAGGCTTAGTTAATTACAGTAGGTATACGTATCAGGTACAATTGTGCACCTGTAAATGAATAGGCATGGTACTACTTTGCCTGATTAAGACTATATACTAAAATTTGCATTTTAAACTTAGTGTTTTGCAGGAATACATTTTTTGTGCGTGTGGTTATAACTAGCCATAATATGACAGTAGAGGGCGTCTCAGCTATTGTATGCAGCTTTTTATATTTCTGAAAATCACAAGAGGTACTAGAAAAGTCTGAACTTACCTTTAAAGAATGTTTAGAGTTTGAGATGCAGTGTTCCAAAGTTTGCATGTCACATATAGCTCACAAGAGTCCTCAAGTGAGACTCTTAAAAGTAAAAGCAAAATGTGGAACATCAAGGACGTGGCAAGAGAAAGTTTTTTCCGTTTAATAAACTTTTTCTATATTTTTATGATAGAACCAATTAGGCAATGACATTTATAACCCAAGAACAAAAATTGTGGTTGTGTTATTTAATACACTTTTAGGTTACATTATTTTATGCTGTTGATTAAACTGATTTCGTTTTGTACGTTATCCTGAGGCTGTATAATAGCAGGCAGGATATTACTACTTTAAGAAATAATAAGCTGTATACAATATCTGAAAAAGCCTTTACAGAACATCTAACGTTTGGAAAGATCTTAAAAACATATAATGTGCAATGGATGTAGGAGTGGGGGATCTAGTAAGTTTGGTTTTAACCCCCCCCCCTTAATACGTTCCACTAGGCAACACTGAAAGCAAAACAAGAGCATGCACCTGAGTTGCAGAAAAAGACAAATCTAGTTTCTACAGATTTAAGGCCTAACACTTTTTGAAATTTGAGTATCAAACATTAATCTCAAAGAGTACCTTCTTTGGAAGAAAGTTATGCAGCTTTAGTTTAAATATACATTATCCTTAAATGATGTAGGAAAATCAAGGAGTACAGGGGGTTTTTTTGTTTGTTTTTTACTCCAATGAGATATCACATATTAGAAATGGTATTAGCTGATGTCCCAAGGTTAAAACAAAAATCTGAAACTTTAGTTGGTGGTTTTTCCTATCCCACTGAGAGCTCAAATTTACTAAAACTGAACTGTATGTTCACTTGAGTACAGATGCAGAATTTTTTGTGGGTCATCCTGGAGCACATTTTGCTATAGCTTTTCAATTGAGTCTCAGCCAATTCAATATAGGCCCCCTTTACACTGCCACATAAATTCCAGATTATCTGTTTTGAACTGGATTATATGGCAGTGTAGACCCGTATAATCCAATTCAAAGCAGACTAAGTGGATTATCTGCTTTGATAATCTGGATCATATGGCAGTGTGGAAGGGGCCTAAATTTGTGGCAGCCACAAAAACGAAGTTTCTGTAGTATTACAATTGTACTTTCAAAGTAAGTACTGCACAATTAAACAGGAATAACACTTTAAAATTAGGAACAGAAAATCTTTCAAATTTTGTTACATAGTATAATTGACAGGTTGAAACCAGACAAAACCAGTCTTAAAAGTTTAAAAGAGTTTCAAACTATAAACACAGTATGCAGGTTTGAATAAAACCAACCAGGCTCAAAGGGCTTTAAGAAAAAGTTGTGTTTCGATTTGGCCAGAGAATGACATTATTAGTGCCAGCTAAGCCACTAAAAGGAGTGTTTTCCACAAATGCCATAGCAGAAAATGCTCTCTCCTATTAATAATAATTATTATTATTAATAATTATTATATAATAATAATTTTGTACTGTTAGCGCTGCCACTGGCGAAATACAGAGAAGGGCTCTTCCACTGGGAAGAGTGCGGATGAGCTCCCTCTGTCAGTGCCAGCTTCCCATGCAGGGACATGAGAGAAGTCTCCCACAAGGATGATAAAACATCAAAATATCCAGGTGTCCCCTGGGCAACGTCCTTTCAGACTGCCAATTCTCTCACACTAGAAGTGACTTGCAGTTTCTCAAGTCTCTCCTGACACGGAACCCCCCCCCCCCCAAACTGGACCTCCTCAAAGAATTGAGATCCCATGCTATGTAGGGTCTTGAATGTTATCATTACCACTTTAAACTCAGATTAGAAGTTTACTAGAGGCAGTCAGTAGAGTCACTTTATGTGTTATATTGTCTCAATATGATCTGGTTGAGTCTAGCTGCTCCACTTTTCCCTAGCTATAGCTTCAAAGTCCCCTTCAAGGACTATAGTAAGAAGCCCTAAATTTGTGTCAAAGCA